AGTTTTGTTTTTTTCGCAAAACAATGTATGTGGTCTCTGCTCAATATATCGTAGCATCTCCGGCTGTTCGCCCCACCGTGGTACTGCCTGTTTCGCCTATTGGACCTCCACCGTGACGGCGATACACCAGTCCGATCTTTAAGATTTGAAACATTGGATAGCCTAGATAGCCGCGATCCTCTTCTTGCTTCATCCGCAATGGATTTTCTACCGGTCGCTTTTTTGCCCTTTCGCTTTTTATGAAGAAGCATTTTGCCTTCTCCATCCTCGTTTAGATCGGTATCGTGGAGCCAAGCGGTGCCGGCTACGCTCATTTTGCGGAAACGCATGGAGTTGTTTGTCAAAGTGCCCGTTTTATCGGAGAATATATAACTGAATGCTTTATTAGTATTAAAGCCTTCCTGGTAGAATGAAGCAAAGCTTACCTGACTTGGCCAAGTTCCTCGTTTATAGTAGAGGTTCTTGCTTCCAAAGGTGTATTCGAATCCTCATCGTACATATCGATATCGTTCAATAGAAACATTTGGGCGACTTTGACAATCTCGAGACTGACGTAAAGAGAGATTGGAATCAGAGTGTTAAACATGATTAGGAAAGACGTAAAGACCGGGCCGTAAGAGACCATGGCTTGCTCAAGATACCAAGATTTACTCTCGACATCTTGAGACCAGAAACGATAAGCGATCGTACAGGCCGAAGAGAGAACCACAACGAAAAGGACGATCACCGCGACAACTCGGTTCACCATTGCCTGAAGAGCGGGCGCTTTAATTCGCGGGTTTTTGTTGGCATTCATCCGTATCTTGCATTCTTCTCCCGTGTAAATTACCATGCCGATGGCTTCGTGGGTATTTCGAAGTACGCTTCCACGATAGATAACTTCGTTGTTAGTCAGAGGCAATTTCTCGCCTGCAACTGTGACGTTGCCATCGAACTTGTAGAGATCGATATTTGGGTCCTCCACCGCAAAATGGGTTGACTTATTTGCGGTGATGTCTTCTATAGTGGCACAAGTTTTTGCAACGGGAATGCAAGGCTTTTTGCTCTTCAGATTGGTTTCTCCATCCAGCGCCATAGTTTCAATATAGGCGATCCCATTAGGCTCTTCAGCATGTAAAAGCACAAGGTCAGCAGGTGCTGGTTGATCGCGCTCCAGCCGGATTACATCACCCACTTGAATATCGATCCACTTCGTCGGCGCCCAAACGTCTGCCTCTTCGGAGATTGGCTGAGAGCTACCTAGCAAGGGATCCGACGTTATTCCATTCTGCCTATTGGGGCGTAGTACCAGGGCCAGTCGATTATTTTCCTCCTTGTCCAATCGATATCGACGAAAATCATCGAATCCTTCCTTTCCCATGGAAATACCAACAAAAATCATTAAAGGAACGAATGTGGTAAAAGTTCCGGTGGTGCTGAGACCGGGTATCATTTGTAAAATAGCAATAACCAGAAAGTAAAAATTCGCAAGTTTGGAAAATTGAGCAATGAACTGCTTAGGAAAGAAACTCCACAGACTATATCGGCTGGATCGAATATAGTTACTGATATAGTGTTTTCCTGTCCGCTCATCTATGAGTGGTTCGGTTCGGTGTGCATCCAGGTCAATGTGCCGACCGTCTTTGCTAGGAGGAATAGGCTTGATTCGAAGAACGTGTTCGCGGAAAACAACACCTATTGATTCTAGCAATGATAGTATCCACTGCGTAAAGCTTTTCTTTGCTAGACCATAAGAACGGGATGCGCGATACGTGCGGACGCCTTTAAGGGTGTCCGTTCTTTCTGACGCAAACGCAGAGTCATCGTCCTTGTTGCTGGATGAAACCTCTCCAATTTCAACCATTTCGCCCTTAGACGAGCCGCTATCCGACCGGCTGTGGGTGACTGTAGCGTTCCTGCGATCTGTTGCATTTTGTCCCAATTCAATAGATGTATCATTCACGGGTGAATTGGTTTGGTGGAGGTTTCGGTTGAATAGTGTACGTCGAAGCGAATAACCCCGGCTTCTAGAGGCTGGAGATGGCACAGGTGGCGAGATAGGTGAGTTATTAGAACTGGGTGAAACCACAGGAGAGCTGTTGCCACTTGGCGATAGGCGTGCCGCTTGGGACGAAAGGGGCGGATGCCCCGTCTCCACGGTTAGTCCCGAGGCAGCGATGCGAGAACTTCGACTAACCGGACGCTCTCCTAAATCTCCAAGGGTGTCCTGGTGAGAGTCACTCTCAGAACCCCGCTCTATATCGGTTGAGAATCGCACGCGTTGTTGAGATGGTCTCCGAAGCGTTGAGGTATCCACCTCCGAAGGCCTTCTTCCCTGATCTCCGTCGAGGCCTTGTATCATATCATTCCCGGTCTGTTCGGCGGGAGGTTGTTCGCTTTGGTCCTGTAACAGTATTCTCTCTTCCTCAGCACCTCCATTATCGTCATCGCCACTAGTCGAAATTCTCAAGGGTGACCCCGACGATTGACGACGCGGTCCTTGAGGCGCAAGCCTACCATCACGGGCACGGTCATCATCAGCAGCCATAGCAATGGCAGAGGCCTGGTAATATGTCTTCTTTATTCCCCGCCGGATCTCTCAAAATTTCCCGCAGGTAAGTTTTGTTCTTCGCTTTGTTCGCTCCCCTCTCTTTCTAGCCAGCCTCGAAGCGTTTATAGCGAATGTATAGATAACGAACGGGAATTCCTAACCCCGGCGTTGGCAGTTGAACGATTCACACTGACACGACAATCTCGAGGACAGGGACTCATGGTAAATATGACGAAAATTGGGGTGGCCGCTCCGTCGGATAAGTGGATGCGAAGCGGTTTCCTAGACCCCCGGCGACGGCATCGAGGACAGTATGTTCAGAAGAGGAGCAGTTCCGTGAAGTCTCGGGGCCAGCTGGTGCGGTTTTGATCCGATGGGGTTGGGATGGGTCGCTGTCCAAAAGCAGGGTTATGGCGGGCCAAGGCGACCGGCTTCGCCGTCCGGTGTACGTAAGCCGCCGGGATTGGCCTTGGCGGGAGTGGTTTAGTCATCTTCGCCATCTCCACGGAGTAAATATTAATGAGATCTGAGCGCAAAGGTGAAGAGGAAGCACGTTGATCACTGTTGTAGGGTTATGTATAGGTTAGGGATATGCACGTTGCTATACAGCTATCATTGATAGTCAGGGTATAATATGTTCTATCCAGTAAATCAAATTCCCCCAGAAACTTCGCACCGCAGATGTCGCAGGTACTCCGTAGACCCTGGATAAAAGGAAAATCCACAGAATCCCTTTCGACATCCAACTTTGCAACCACCGAAGGCAAGGTTACCATTAATTGTCTAACTTCTCGGGGACGCGACCCGCAGTGGCGGACTGATGGTAGCACAGTGTTTCATGTCGGAACATCACCGACCATGATATCTAAACGTTTCTTTCTGCCCTGACCCGGCCCAATTGGCCTGAGGATTTCATCAGGCGCGCATTTGTGCCCCCTCTAGTAGACGGCCCATATATCAACCTCGGTCTACCATCAATTATCTTGCGGCCCAAACTTCTTTCGAATCTCCGCTTGGGTAAACCGACGAGTCTTTGTTCGAAGCATATTCGCGATTTGATCGAAATTCAGCTCCATTTGGTCACCGAGAGGTACGAGACATTTGGCAAGATGCATGTAGTCCTTTTGTAAAAGCTTGACCGTGATCATGAAATAATCAATATTGCGGAACACGAGCGCGTGTTCCGCGCCGTAGCGTGCTTTTTGTTTCAGGAAAGCAGCTGGGTGGTCGCGCCAATGCCTCCGGGGATTAAGGTGGTGGGACGTATGGTAGCCATCGTTGTAGCAATGGCGGTTACTCTGTGCACCATCAAATTAGCCAACAAGTCCAACAATCATCAAGATAGGCGGGGAGACCTACTGCCACATCGATGAGAGTAATGCTGGAGCGAAAATCGGAGGTTGGATCGGCCTCATCGACGAATGCGTGCTGGCCCCAGTTGCCAATCATCAACGCTATGCGGAGCTGCAAAAAGGGCAACAGGAAAACAAACAAGGTTGCTCTCCAATGTAGACGAGTAAGCAGATAAAGGAAAATGTAATTCGCGACCTCCCAGAAGGCTGCCTTTGCACCCAAAGCCAGCTTGCCCTTGCGTACAAAATAAAGAGGCAGCTCCAACCAAATGAGAAAGAAGAATCGAGTCACGTAGCATAAAAAGTCAAAAAGCTCATCACGCTGGTAGTAGATGGTTGACGAAAGATCTTCGGGGCCATTTCCTTCGACATGATGGTGCTTAACATGGTGATAATAGTAAGAATTCCAGGTGTGCCCCATGAGCGGGTTGGTAATGTATGGGAAGAGGGCGTCAAACCACCCATACTTTTTAGCCAAAACTCCGTTCATGTGGATGTGCTGATGCATCATGAGCGTGTACGTTGCTGCATAGTATGCCTGCATCAGCCAGTGCACGACTCCGTGAAGCCAATGGTAATTGTAATACAAGTAGATTGCACTTGGGACGGACGTCGCAAAGTACAGTAGTAGGTGGGTAAGCATGACAATGTCTGTTTCAACACGGACAATTTTGCTCGCCACTTTTATATATGGCTGTATCAAGTAGCCATGCACAAGGGGAAACCGCTTGAGATCTTTCAGATCCCAGAAAAAGAAGACCGTTGGTTCGAAGTCTCTATGAGTCGGGTCATTGAGGGCATCCAATGTCCTGATAGCAGCTTCATCGGCAGCCGACGAGCCATTGAGCGGTACATCGGCGACTGGGCCTAAACCGACCGTCAATTTTCCGCTCTGAAAGATTGATATTCCGACTAAGCTTACCATCAAGAGTTCGCGGGGGTGGTTTGATCGTTGACTTGGTGTGACGGTTCGTAGTGCCATGGCCATTCAAAAAAGGTTGCGCTGTTGGATTCTTGGCCTCGTTGATGTCCCGAAGAAGGCTCTTGAGCACCAACAGATCTTGCCTGGTCAGACTAGGGTCAACATATGTCGCCGGGTCCATGTCGGCAGGTGGTGTGAAGGCGCCGGGGCACTTGCTGGGTGTATGCAAAATTATCGCGCCAAGTCACCACCCAGCGAACATGAGGTTTTGTGAATTTGAAGATGAAATAGCTTTCGAAAAGGAGCCGTCAAACACGTTAATATAAGCTATTTATCTCATTGTTTTGAATTCCGGCCTGGAAAATAGGGCAACGCTAGCATCCGAGTTTGAAGGAGCTAAAACCAGGGGGCTTTGAGTCTGACCCCTTTTTGGTAGCTTGGTCATCTAGCTTGCAGGCCTGAGTCTAGGGCCATGTGATGCCTATAGACGCCCGCAGCACCGCTGGGTGTTTAGGGAGCACTCGGCTATATTAGCGCCGATCTGTCCATCCACTTGTTCCAAGCATTTTTCTCGCATTTGATTTGTCTCAGCATCACACAAATAGTTAATCGAAGGAAATGCGGATGGCCGCGTAAAAAGATCATAAGATTGGCAGGGGAAGTTTGAGCTTTCAGGGGGAGCATGATGCTAAATTTAGAAAAGTGTCAACTGTGCTCCGTACTCTGTGAAATTTATTGGCAACATGACTTAGTTATGGCATTTCCAAGATGGCTTTTCAGTTAACGAAATTGATTCATGTGTGTTAGGGCCTTGCATGGGCACCCCAAGCCGGGCTTGCAACATAGTTTACCACGGCCAGGAGTTGGCGTTTCGGGCATTAAAATTCAATTTGGTCAAGCTGACAACAGGGTTGAATCTGAAATGTAGCGAGAAAACTAGTTAAGTGGCAGGTATCTAAATGTGACTTCGCCAAGCATTCGGGGCTCAGCCTGGGCGAGCTCACCTACGGGGTAGGTGATCCACGGTTCAACGATATTCACAGTACAACGATTTTTTCATCAACGAAGCCACCCTTGCTCTCAATTTGATAATTTGACCACCACAATGCGATGGAATCCCCTAGCAAACACAGTGAAGAGGCTATCCAACAGGCACTACATGTATATCATGATTTAAAACGCGCGAATTCGAAGATTAATGTTGCTGCTCTTGCTTGGGAACATAATGTTGATCTACAGCAACTTCAAAGACAGATACTTGGAAAGAGACTCAAAAGGGGATGGCCAGGGCCTAATAAAGTGTTGGATCCCTCTCAAGATTGAAGATATTTGATGGCACCAAAATACTAGGGAGTTTTGAGCCTTCTGAATCAGTTCTTCCAGCTGAGATAAATAGACCAGTTACACCAACTGCACCAAGCTCAACAACTACTATACACTCATGGATTATGGAATCAGATGACCAGTTTTCTTGACAAGCATCCTGATATTTCTCCCTCAATATACTGTGTATTTTGTGGAGCACTTTCCCAGGCAGAAATAGGTGCATTCAACACTGATTTACTTGGAGGAAATATGTGAGAGACCCTGTAAATCTCGGGCCATGGTCATATCTTCAGTTCATGGGAATCCTATACATTAAGGATGCCAAACAGGAACTAGAAACCAAGAAAAGGATCTTAATTGACAAGTGGTGGAAAAAGCATGGCCCAAGTAAGGATATCTTTGTGGAATGGGATTCAACTACCAATGAACTTATTACACTTCCTGTAACCCAACCATTGTGGGAACAGGGCCAGGTTTAATATCATCAGTAGCTCTAGTATTCTATTAACAAATCTGATATTTACAAATCAATTACTGGTTGTGGTTGTTGGTAAATCATGGATTCAATCGGCCTCGTTGATGGAAAAAATTGTTGTACTGTGAATATCGTTGAACCGTGGATCACCTACCCCGTAGGTGAGCTCGCCCAGGCTGAGCCCCGAATGCTTGGCGAAGTCACGTTTAGATCCCTACCTAGATGGAATAGAATGTTACTCTCGAACAGGTTTATATCATTTTGTCTCTTGTCGCACTTTCATGGCTTAGCGGCCATCCAAGTGCCTTAACCATTCAACAGTCTCCTCACAAGATCCTAAAATATATCTAGAGATGCGGAATATAATCAGCCCAACGAACCGTTTTGTATAAATCAGCATCCGACTTTCTTAAGCTAATAAAAGCCTCGATAACAATAAATCCGCGCGCAGCAATATAATGGATCAAAATAATCTGTCCAAGCGAAATGACTGGATCCCATACTTTCTTCATGCGCGTGCTTGTGTTGGGATGCTGCCACCAGGCTACAAGGACTGCAGAAAAAGTCATGATAAACAAGCACGACCCGTACCACAAAACACCCTCTGTGGCGGTGGGAAAATCATAGTTGAGAGTGGACATGTGAACAGCGCCATAGCAGACAGCGAGGAAAGACACAGCGAAAAGCTGAACCCGTTGTCCGGCTGCCCCTGCACTAGCAGAAAACTGAATATTAGGCAGATATTCGGCGACAAAGTCTCTATCTTCATCGGTGAAAAACTCCCTCCCGAAGCGAGCAATTTCCTTTAATTGAGGGTATCTTCGGATCGCACTAGCAGCGAGCTCCCATCGCCGCACATCTTTCTCTGACATCTTGCGCGGTACATCACCAGAGGGAAAGATATAATCTTTGAAACCAAAACGTGAGTAGGAGTCAATTTCGTTCTTTCTCAGTTGCAGGCCTGGGTTAGTTTCAGTTTCTACCAACGATACCGGAGCTCGTGGACTGGGCTCTTGAGTGCTTAAGTTGAGCGCCTCGTCGGCGGCACGCCTCGAGTGCAGCATTACAATCTCGTTTGATGGTGCTGGTGCCCGCTCGCTCCGTATTGTCGCAGGCTCATATATCAACCAAGAGGATTCCGCAGCATCCCTATGTTCGTGAATAAACCCAAGCCCAGGGGTAAGCATCGCCATGTAAGCAAGGATCCCCTTATATTCTTCCGCATAGAGGTCCAGCGGATCCCTAACCTCTAGAGGCTTCTTGAACCAAAAGCTGTACATCATCAAGGCGCAAACGACATGCACCATTGTGTGAATCTCTAGCAGTGATATCGGAAGCGCATTGACCTTCCGTGCTATACACTGAAGTACGAGCCACGCTGTTTGAAAGATAACAAGGCCTTTCGCGAGGATGTCGCCCTTGCTTTTGTCTTCGATCGCTTCACGTGTGATTTTTGGGGCGCAACCTAGGCAATTCAATAGCCGCATGCCTGTGGGTGTCACCAGAAGGCGTTTATGATAGTCAGAAAACTCGGACGCATCAAAGGCCACACCGCCCATAACCACAAAGAAGCCTTCAACTAAGCTCCAAGTGCGATTTTTCAACTCCTGTTGTTGCGACTTAGTTGAGATAATGCGTTGGATCGAGCGCGGCCACGTTGACATACCTGCGACTTGGTGACCGCTTGACTTTGCTTTCCAGAGTCGCGATCAATTCGCTGCATTTCCAGATCGGTGTTTTCCAGCTCGAGTGTCGCTATGGGTCGGTTATCAAGCCCTCCATCTTCCCTTCCCGCTCCTTTGAAATAACTCAGATTTGGTGTATTAGCATCGTCTCGAACGAGTCTGGCCACCCACCACTGGCTGATGGCGACATACAGGACGATTTCGGGGGCAAACAGGCCACAGGCCATCCATTTTATCTTCCTCAGAAGGTGCTTCCTGTCGCTCTGGCCAGGTTTGGGCACATTCAAGTGAAGAGCCGTCGCGATGCATAATACCAGCGTGAAAGTGCAGCTGTAGAGCAAATCCCATGTGCCGCGTGCCTGGGGAGATGGCACCCATTTAACGGTGGAATTGTGCGGCGTGGAGCCAGCCGAGTCCATCTATCTTCAATGGAGTTAACTGGTTATGTACACTTGCAAAGATTGGGCATCCGACATGGAGCAACACGTACTCTGCAGTGAAGATCCAAAGCCGCGACTCTCTGCAACGAGCTGACAAGATTTATATCTGAGGCTTTGAAACGACCTTGAGGAGAAAGCCCAGCACCAGCTATCCACCAAATAGCTGCCGTGAACAGGCCCTGTTTGAAAAATGCGCACCGGATTTCCCCACCATCGTGATCCTCGCCGCCGGACCGTCATGTAAAGCGGTCTCACAAGGCTGTTGGCCCGCAGCCTTGCGCTCTTGGCCTCACAAGTGCCCAATCAATCCCAATTGCAGAGTGATCAGTGTCGCGAACCGAGAAATCTTTCATGAAGGAAAACTTGTGTCATTCCTCCCGTTGTTTTGATAGCTATCAACTAACTGGGGTCAACACACAACCAATATTCATAGTTACTTTTCGTTCCAATGAGCCATAGACTGGCAGAATGTCTTGGACCATCGCCAGATGACCCGCCTCCGATTCGACGGGAGCGGTTCCCGACACTCGCTGAAGTGCTCAGGCGGGATAGTCGCGCACCGGTTGACCTCTTTTCCTTCTACATATACATGCGCGATCGAGAACATGCCGTGGATTACTTGGACTTTTGGTCAGCGATTTCTCGGATAGTTATCGAAGACATGGCTTTTGGTGATTTTCGGCTAAACAAGGCCTAATTAATACAGGATCGATGTTGCGCAACACGAGACCCTGTGCCGCCAGTATGCTCAGGATCTGCTACGACGCGATCCGCCCGAGGGTCCGTTGGCTGAGGGTGATAATGGCAACGCTTCCAACGATAGTGAATCGAGAAGGTTTTTCGCGAAGTCAGACCTCCAAAACTCAGCAATGAAACTTCTTTACACCTATCTGCTTCGTGGTTCGGAGAGACACATCGCCCTACCACCAAGTATCACCGATGAGGTCAGCAAGGCTATCGAACAGGAGGGCCGAGATGATCCAGGAGTCTTTGCCCAGGCGAAGGAATATGTTCTGCAGGCCATGGAAAGAGATTCTTACCCCCGATTTTTACAGCACCAGGCCCTCGGCAACATTGTTTTGGCCAATATAAAAATACGTATGACCGTTGGCCTCCTGAGTACGTTGGGTGGCTTCTGGGCCTCATTCATGCTCGCAATACTGGGTTATTCACGCCCAGTCCGCTGTTGGGTAAGGCCTCCCATTCCCACCGCATTCTGAAATAATTGATTGACGGCTTAACCCAGCCGATTATCCCATTTACTATCGGCGTTTATGCCATCGTCTCATCTTCCTATAGCCTAGATCCGTTCCTTGTTTTGCTAGGCTGCAGCGAAATTACTTTCATGCAGTATTCTCGGATTCAGGAGCCGTTTGTCCGCTCACTGCTTCAAAAACGAGCCATGATAATCCTGATCCAATGTTTGTTAATTGATGCTGCAGTGTGCTGTCTGTTTATTTTCGTGCCAGAAAGGCGTTTGTGACCTACTACGAACCCATCGGTTAGGGCTCAAGACGTCGTAGGGATGTCCGTATCCTATTTCTCAATTCGAGAGGAAAAGTACCATTGACAGTGGTAATTTGCGACGTACGGCGTACAATCTGTAGATATGGGCGTGGGAGGCATCAAAAAGGGCACAATCTTTTATGTCTACCTGATGCGTGAGCGTTTGTGGATCTGACGGTCTCACTCATTCCGCAACAACTCGTTACGCTTCATATTCCGCACGGATATATTCTTCTAACCATTTGATTGATTCAAAAATTTGCGCTGAACCCTTCTCAAAGATGGGTTTTCCTGTTGAACTGCAGGGATTGTGTATCCGCTGCCAATCAAAATAGCCCCTGGAAAGCACTTATGCAGAAGGTCGATTAGGCTCCAGCTTTGGCACTTTGATATCATGTCCTGCTCTTCGCTTCTCACTACCCCGCCAGAGGGGCTGGTTGGGCTTCAACAACAAGGCGAACTCCTCATCAGCTCTGCCCACCTTCATCGCAGGCGGCACGCCCAGTCTAATTTTTGCAATCTTCACATCGCAAGGCGTTAAGCCATAGTCAAATATCCGAGCAAGAGTACCAAGAAAGAAAGATGGCCGCCGAACCTGAATATGTCCCCCGCTCCACCGAAACCGTTTACCACATCGCTCGGGAAGTGGTTCAACTTCTAAAGCAATCAGGCGAGACTCTCGCCGTTTCTGAATCGCTCACAGGCGGCGGAGTAATGGCCACTCTGACATCTGTCGAAGGGTGCAGCGCTGTTTTCCGCGGCGGAGTCGTGTCCTACGCCACCCCAGTCAAACAACATCTCCTCAAGGTCGACGGGGATCTCATCGCTGAACACGGTGTCATCCATGCTGATGTTGCCGCCCAAATGGCTGCCGGAGCCAGGACTGTCACCACCCACCAAGACATGGCTCCGACTTCCTGGGGCATTGGAACAACAGGGGTAGCAGGACCTGATCCCCAGGACGGGAAACCGGTGGGAATGGTCTTCATCGGCGTGGCTTCGCCAAGTGGCAGTAAAGGCTTTGGGCCTTTTCACTTCCCCGGCTCGCGTGAACGAGTTCGAGAGGCCACAGTCGGCGAGGCGCTGTCCCTCCTTCGCCAAGAGCTGCTCAGGGCGAAGCTGCAAAATTGAAAAGTCGAAGAGCATTTTCGTGAGATAGTCAAGCGCGAGATTCAATTCTCAGACCATGGTTTCATCAGAATCTAATTTTGGAAAGATTCATGAGATTGATAGGTGTATCTTAGCGGCGATGATGTAAATGTCAAGCTTCTCTAGAAGTCACAACTATGTCCCATATTCAAAGAGAAAAATTCCGTAAACACTAGGTCGGAAACAAATGATAATGTAATACTCGGGAATCGGATAGCAAGCAATTTCAAAATAAAAGCTGAATAGAAAAGGCACACCATGGGACGAGAGTGGCTGGTTTCATCATCCAAATCAAAAGCATCAACTGAATGGAAATTTGTATATGGGGTTTGCCTCGCCGAAAGGATGTCTCTAGCGTTAAGACCCGTAAGACACATTTGTGTAGTCTATCAATCAAGCTAATAGGTTTTAGTTTGGTCACAAAAGTGATAACACTTTCCCGACAACGTTCGTCTATATCTTGTCGTATATAATCAAGTAGGCTGGCATCATCGCCCGCTTGTTGTAAACGACGCGTTCGTCGGTTGAAAATGCGCTTGATGGGCCAGGTACAGCGTGCACCTAGTGAACCATTGAAGTAAGCATATAGATACATAAGTCTCGATCATCAGAATAGAGTGCTTACAGAGTTGTATCCTTGTGGATGTCGGTCGAGTGTTGGGAATGTCCATTATGGTTCCAAATGGCTTTCCAAGGACAACCCTACAGAGAAGAAGGGCATTATGGAGCGCATCGGGGTCCATGTTTGCTGCGTATTTATCTGCCCTGAGAAGAGGTTAGTAGGCGACAAGAACTAATCGAGTATTTCCCACTTAGAACTATCTGCAGTTGTGTAGAGTCCGGGGCCAAGTCTGATACCGCGGCTAGGAAAGAACTACATTAGCTCATGACGCCCTCTTCGAATTAAACAAAATCCTGTCGAAAACACAGTACCCAGTAGTCCGTTTCAATCTCAAATACGGACCAAACCCCTCACAGATAGCCTCGCAAAGTTTGCAGTCAGGGTGATCACACGGCCTAGTATTGCCAGCTTCCCCAAGGGTGCAGTAGCGAGCAACCCCACGGAATAGTTTCTTTTCATTTCCAGGTCTTAGCCCCTTAAGCATGAAATTTCCGAACCCTTCAATGTCGGCCCTAAAACGGTAAGCATGAATACAATATTTGCTGCAATAAACAAGAATTATTCTATCTTACCGATAATTTTCATAACGGACTCTGGCACGCCTTTTCCAAGTTATAAGATAAATTCTTCTGATAACAGGAATTGCTTTGCCTTGCCACCTGTCCAAAAATTGATATGCAACTAAAATGGTAAGAGTAAAGAAAATGAAAGTAGGTCGATTTTGAGGGGCGCAGATACCATTTTTAAACATAACATGATCTTTGGGGATTTTTATAAGGGCCGGGGCCTTAGCTGCTGCCCTATTGGAGCACTGTCGAGAACAAAAGGTGTAGTTCTTGCTTTTCGGATTGCGGAAGCACTTGAGACAAATGTCGTTATACATATTGGATCGTCACAAACCCACGCACTGACAGTAGTGTATTCGGACGGGAAGTACAACAAAGAAACTAACAAGGGCGTCAAGTGGGAGAGAGAGAGAAATCTGGAGGGAAAAATCCGACAAAATCGCGCCTTTAGAGTGAAAAAGCTTTATTGACAACTTGCTCTTCCTGGAATTTAGAAGCTCAGTTCAGGTTTTATACTGTCCTCCTCGATACACCAGGGCTTTGCTTATTAGGCAACAGGCGCAACTCAAGCCATCCTGTGCCTCAGTGTCTCTAGGCTGTGCCGCCTGCTCTCATCAAGAGCGCCAGAGCATTAGATTGAAGCCTTCTGCACTCCAGAGGCCACACTTGTGTTATGGGTATCATCTTCCAGTGCTTCGAGTGAAACTTCACCTAAGAACCGGGCCAAAATCGGCGCCGTCAGAATCTCCTTAAGGCTGAAGTGAAGTTGTGAGGAAGTGATTGGCCCGTAGTTGAGGAAAAGAAGCTTGGAGTCTGCCTGGTGCTGCATTGGATCTGGGCGGCTAGCAATTTTGGTGGTCAAGCCACGAATGTTCTGCCCATTTCAACAAGTCATGAAACCCACGTCTCAACAACACTCGTATGTAAGCGCAGAAGGGCTAGAAGCCATAAAATGGCAAAAGCGCAAGATTGTCGGAGTATGCTTGAGCTTTGTAGCTGCTCTATATGAAAGACGTGTCTGATCGTTGATCCGCCCGCCACCCGCAACGCATTGTGCAGTTGACATCACTGGCAAAATTGCCAGCATTGTTCGGGTTTTAAGTAGATTTGACACAATCCTATGCGCCATTGATATGCTAGAGTCCATGTAATATGGGGAGAAGAGAGTCGAGCGGAAAGACCACCAACACTGCCTGACCATGTTAAAGCCGGATAATAGAAGGACCGAGATTGATCGTCTAACTTGAAGGAGACTAACCAGCACCGAGCATCCTTCGGGAACCTGATTCTCGATGCGGCTGAACTCCAATATCAAGTTCCATCACAAACGGCAAATCATCACCATATCACAGGGCTCAATGGATCTTTCTGTACCGTGTGATGTCATCCAGGTTAGGCAATGGGGCTGCTCAGCAGCTGTTCTCCGGGCTTCTATCTAAATTGGTTGAGAATTGCTATATCAGACAAGACTCTCAGCCGCGGGGCTGTCGATCAGTTCCAATCACTGCCCATTCTGCTACTATTGTTAGCTCAGATGCCATGGGCTTGTTTTGACATGCTTGTTGATCACCACCTTGATCATCGCACTTTTTCTTTGACGCTCGCTGGTGAAATCCGGCTAATATATATAACCGGGATCGGGCAATATGTCAATTGATGTTTGCTAGAATCCAGATGTCTGTTTGGACCGTTATATCGATTCCCTATCATATTCTACTGTCAGAAATATAAGGATCTTTCTTATTCTGGGTGTTCAGATATCAAAACATGCATCGAGACATTCTCTCACTGCTAGCAGCAACATCGTTATGCTCTGCCGTACCCCCTCCTGAGAAACCATGCAATCCTCCTGCTACGTATCCATTAACCCATAACAGTTCAGCCATAGCCCATGACCCGGATATCCTCAAGCACGAAGACTATTATTACCTCTTGGGATCAGGGCCTGGGATACGCTTTTCCAGGGCAAGAAGTTTAAACGGCCCTTGGGAAGACCTGGGGGCCATTTTGGACAAACCGAGCATTATCCCAAAGGGTGACCGAGCGAAACCCTGGGCCCCGTACGTGCTTCACAACGGCGATACCTTTTACTGTTATTACGCCGTTAGCTCATCGGGCTCCAACGACAGCGCGATTGGAGTCGCAACTTCTAAACAGATGAAACCTGGGAGCTGGACAGATCATGGTGCGCTCGTCCATACTGGAACCGGCCCCGGTTCCCAGAGAGAGCCCTTCAAAGGATCCAACGCCATCGATCCGCAGGTGTTTATTGACCCGAAAGACGGTCAAGCGTACTTGAATTATGGGAGTTACTTCTCGGGCCTCTGGCAGGTCCCTTTGAGTGATGACTTGATGTCACTCAAGTACCCCGACAAGGTCGATGGCAGGCACCTTGTTAACAAGCCCACAGGAGTAGAGGAAAATAGCTTTATCACATTCAAGGATGGCTTCTATTACCTTTGGTTTAGCTATGGACAGTGCTGCAATTTTGATCCGGGTAACCTTCCTGAGGATGGAAAAGAGTATGTGTGGCTGGGCTTTTCTCCCCTTGATTCCATAATTGATATCAAAAGCACGAAAGCTGACAAGAATGGAAAAAAATAGATATTCGATTCGTGTCGGGCGCTCGAAGAATGTTCGTGGTCCATTTGTAGACAAGTGCAGCAGGGAATTGACATCCGGAGGTGGCCATGTTGTGTATGGCTCGAACCATAATAAACAGGTATACGCACCTGGTGGGCAGGGCGTGTTGCCCGGGGACCCACAAGACATTTTATACTATCATTGCTGTGAGTGTGCACATACCAGTTGGCTCCAATCAATGCACGAAAACATAGAGAGGTGAGCTGACCGTCCGCAAGTGAATACCAGTGTTGGTTTAGAATATTTGGTAAGTGGTCCTCAGGTAATCATTGATCGTCGAGACTTATTACTGACAATCTCCCTTAGGACGCCTACATGGGATGGAGCTATCTTGAGTATGTCGACGGTTGGCCTGTCGCTACATCCGACCCTGTTTGAAATGAGGCGTAATACAGTCCTCTTTGATCCGCCACAGCGTAATAACTCCCTGCTGGTTTCATGGAATATCCGGGAGATATTTTTTGTGGCGTTATGACTATTCGATTCGAGACAAACTGGATTGATGATTTGCCAAGGAAATTTACGATGTTTATACAATATTGCCCCTTATACTTTATGATGATAATACAGTCGGTGTATTCGAGATATATTAGAACGGAACCTGAATAGCTGCCTTTGCCCGAAAGGCTTGCAGTACCAACTCACCCTCTCATGATTATCTCAAAAGGATCTTTCATCAGTTCTTGAGCTGATTTCCTCTCCTCAGGATCCCACGTCAGTAGCTTCTTCACAAAGGTCAGAAATTCACGTTTCCCCTCATCCCCCCATGGCGGTAGAGTATCTTCCAGGGCCATCTTGGGGACAAGATCCGGATATCTGAATTTCCCTACGACAAATCAGCCAATTAGTTAAGTTCCGCAGAGCAAACGCAACCCGCTCTGCATTGGAGGTAAAAAACAAACCATTATCGTTGAGAAAGGGCCCGCCAAAGTAGTCCCGCGCGTTCTGGCATAGTTTGCCTTCGGAGTTTAGAATCTCAATCCCCCAAGACCACTGACTCCGCTCCAGCGACATGGTGACAATCTTCTGAGGAGGGGGCCCAAGTAATCCGATCATCTCCGCGATATGTGCCTTAGCAGAGTACTTGCTATTTTCGTCATGAACGTGGCGGAACAAGTCTTCGATTTGGGCAAAATTCCACAGCTGCTTGCCAATTAGCAAAAACACGTAAAAGAAGAGGAGAAGAGAAGAGAGTTAAGGGAGAAAGAAGAAACAAATCAGTAAAGAGTTCATTTCGCCTTACCATGACTCCGAGATTCCAGATGTCGGCCTTTGTCGTCCATCCACAGCCAAGTAAAACTTCCGGAGCGCGATAAACGTCTGGCTGTATCGGATGCAGCATATGCTCATGGGGTTGTATACGACATGCCGAGCCAAAATCCGTGATTTTAGGCAGGCATTTCGCTTCATGAAGATCACCGAAATTGTTATGGGACAAATAGACCGTCCGTCCTGTGCCATCAACCTTCTGGCCCATAGGCAGAGAACGTTGCGCCTTGACAAAGTTCTTGAGAACGTCCTCATTCTCAAATGTAACAAGTATATTATCCAATTTCAGGTCTGTATCTCGTTATCAGCGACATCGGTGCAAGGTCGAGCAAAAGCAGTTTCACCTGTATGAACCACTCCGCATTCCGCGTGCAAATACCATAGCCCAATGAGAAGAGTTCTGGTATACATCTTCAACAAAGGTAGATTGAAACTACCACCTTTTAGTCGCTGGCGAAACAGCCACGCCGGCTTTCTCATGGTATCATAAACCAAACACAAGTGGTCACCACCAGAGCTTGACAGCACGAAACTGTCGACATGAGTTCTGATAAACTGCATGCTAGGGTGATGAGGTGCCTTCTCAGCAACGTATTTCTCGATATCAACTTCATGGGCAGCTTCTTTGGAGTTTGCATTATTGATCTTCAACGTGACGAAGCGATCTTGCTGCCAACGATACCTAGGCCTGGGTCTTAACTTGCTGTCCTCGATAAGGTATACCACGGCAACACTCACCTTGCGAGATCTTGAGCAAGCCAAACAGTCGAGGAGCCGCCCCAGCCTATTTTAACCAGTGGAAGGTACCGGTTGTTGAAAATGCTTCCTGGCTTAACAGGATAGTAGAGATGAGAATCGTACCCTGGGCATATTTCCTCATCAATTGGCTCGTCTGGGGGTAGGGCAGCGCCTACGGTCTCAGGGAACTTTTGCGGCCGAGCCCGAAAAAACGATAATGGTCGTGCCTCTGTGCGCAAGGGAGCCATTCGTCGAAAGGCGCATTTTGGGAGTAGTTGTGAGATCTGCATTGCCAGGTGCCAATTATTTTAGCCGCCTGCTGAGGTCAAGTGTTTTGAATGAAATTGCAAGTGCTTGCTTTGGAGCGCAAATGAACACAGGAGACCAAATAGCTAACTAGCAAAGGAGGGCATCTGTTCATTGAACTTGCCAGCGATCAGCACAATCTGATATCAACCCAATTGCAACACAAAGCGCTGGTGACAGCCCCAACGACAATTGATTTGGTCCAGGGCCAAGGGTATATGACTCCAACTGGTTAATTGCTGGTGCTGAATTAGATTATTTGTCATTCCATCCTCTATGGGTCCTATACCTACTTTTCAATAGGGAGACTCTTCAACTTCTTACGTTCAAAGATAGCCCTTTCGGCAAATGGACACTTTTCCGAGAAGACAAAGCATATGCTTCACAGAATCATTATGAACAAGTTAACAACTTTTCAAATGTCTTGGGAGTCGGTTTACAAAGCAATATCACTGTCATAGTTATAACACAAGAACTAATAGCAAGTCAAAGTGAAATTCTCTGAAGCGGTCATTTGGTACTTCGCACCATAGTTAAGAAATATAACCTGCCCTGATGGACCATACAGCAAAACCTAAGAAAAGGAGGGAAACGAAGGCATTATCATTAAATTGCGAAATTAGGAGTGCTAAACACAGCTTAGTACCTCTGTGGTGGAGGTGGGCCGCCGTATCCCCCTTGAGGCGGGTAGCCGCCCTGTGGTGGTTGACCATAACCTTGCTGTGGCTGACCGTAACCTCCTTGAGGCTGGCCATACCCTTGTTGCTGATATGGGGGATATCCTTGTTGTGGTGGAGGAGCTCCGTACTGACCAGGAGGAGGTGCACCATATTGACCCTGGGGTGGCGCGCCATATGCGCCTTGAGGAGGCCCGCTCGGTCGATTTGCTTTCTCGTCTCGGGTATCATAAGAGGAATCGATAGCTCCGAGAATCATTTTAGCGAGCTATAGATAAGTTAGTTGCTGAATATAGCGATGATTGAACTTGAGAAGGTATAGCTTACCCAAAGATCTGGTGTCAAATCAACGGGAGGGTTGGCGCGCGACATTTCATCTTGTTCGACCTCGAAGTCTGTTTAGTTTGTTAGTTAATACCCTTAAAAGACGTTCCACTTTTGGAAGGGATGACGGCAAAACCTACTCGACGTGCAGTCGACCAATTCGCCAATACCAGGTTCCTCGTCAATTTTTGAGAGGAATTCTCGCGCTTTAAGATCGTTTCCAACCTGAGCAAACTGGAAAGAGACAGCGCCGCGGCCATAGCGAGGGTTCTTTTGCAATTCGGAGCTAGCATAACGAATAGCATCAAAGACTGCTCCTTGTGGTTCCCCAGCCGGTTGTCCGTCAGTGATCGTAATGATGAGGACAGGTTTCCTGAGCTGGCCAGCGCGGGCTGGGCCAACAACCAAAGGCTCCAAGACCTTGTTCCTCAAACTTGTTCCCATCGGCGTCAAGCCCTTGAATTGGATACGCTGGATCAGAGCCTCAACCTGTCCTTCACTGCGGATTCCGTCTCCTTGCTCATTGGAATTCATAAAACGAACTTGAATACCATCATCGTCAAACAGGGAAGCAGCGAAAGCGACACGAGAAAGGATAAGCTTGAGATCCTTGATGCGTTCTCCATTCTCTTCGAACTGCATGGAGCCACTATCATCAATGTACAAGATGACATCGAACAAAGCCAGTTTCACAATGTCCTGTCCAACTTCTCGAGGAACCCGCCACGTAGTACAGAGCTGGTCGATTTGGTTGGTAATTCTGCCAACAATTTGGTCGAGAACTGGTGAATTAGCAGGGTACATATTTTGCAGACCCTTCTCGTTAATCGTGGCCAAAAGGGATTGTTTGTAGGCACCAAGCTGCTGTGGGGTCGGTGGTTGAGCTGGAGGTGCTCCATACTGAGGCGCTCCTGGGTATGGTGAGCCTTGAGGAGGATATCCTGAGGCTCCCTGCGGAGGGTAACCTTGCCCTTGGGGAGGATGGGGCGACTGAGGAGGATATTGTCCCTGTTGAGGCGGTTGGCCCTAATTGATAGTAGCAATTTATTAGCTACTAGCCTAACAATAAAGGAAAATCGCAGCCTAGATAAACTTCAGACAATGAGACGAACGTAATAGGGTTGTGGCTGTTGCTGTGGGTAGGGCTGTCCATAAGGGCTTTGCTGGGGGAGGCTGCCCATAAGAGTTTTGTGGAGGGGGGGCTCCATATTTTTGATCTCCATACGGTGGTTGCTGCTGCTGCCCTGGGGGTTGGTGTTTGTTGCTGTCCATAGGCGGGTTTGCTGTCCGTATGAAGGAGGTGGCTGGTATCCCTGTTTGATATTGAGGCTGTTGATAGCGCTGTGGGATACCCTGATTGGAGCGGGAACCTTGGAAATGGCGTGCTTTGGCGGGAGGGGTGGGAGGGACAGCAGGACGTCCATACTGGCTCCTGCTGCGACGACGGTGGTGGCTGCGGGCTCAGAGCGGTCGGATAGGGCGGTTGACCCGGATTTGGAAATGGCTGTCCGTAATACCGTTGGCCACTCATAATTGCGATCGAAGAAGGCGGATGAAAGGCAAGAGAGTTGACACAGAATACGGAGGATCCAGAGGGACAGGCAGCAGAGAAGCGGGCAAACAAGACTCAGAAAAGCAGCGTAGGGAGGGGAGAGAGTGATGCTGGGAAGATGGATTCTTCGCTGATGCAGGGAGGTTGGAATTGACATTTTTTCATCACGGGGTCAAGCGCAACGAAGAAAACGTGATTTGCTTACTGATGTAGTAGGTGGGCCTTGCTGGCCTGCTGGTGCGCCTCCCGGATATGCCTGGTACTGCGGCTGTCCAGGCTGCGGCATTCGACAGTCAATTGTTAGCCACTATATGAAGCAGATTGCCACTTTTTTGCTTTTCCTCCGGAAGCATTCCACAGAGGCTGGTGATGGTGTAACCACTGGGCAGAACGACCTGTCACTCACATATGCTGGTTTCGGCTGTTGAGCTCCCTGAGGTGGCGGGGGACCTCCAGGGTACGTGGAAGGCGGAGCACCGCCGGCGGCAGCCATTTTCGAAGCGAGCTATCATTGTCCCTTTCTGTCAGCATACGTGTCTGTCGTTGTCGAAGCAAAACAGCTAGAATGGTTGTGAGGAAAGCATGGAGTGCGGGGCGATGGCGGGGTACTGTCGAGATCAGAGATTGCTACTTACACCCATTGTTCTACGACTGTCGAGACGGAAAAAGAGAGATTGTCAAAAATTGGGAAAGTGACTCGAGAGAGCTGGAAGAAATCGGGGGAACGAGAGCTAATATATATCGGGGCAGCGGGCTGCGATGGTTGTTCTCTGGTGCCTCGTCGAAAAGTTTCCCAAGAAAACCGAATCAAAACAAAATACGGAGTAAAATACGCAAATGACGTGAGCTGGTGGGGAGTTGTGGCGCAGCAAGGTGTAAAGGGCCAACCAGCGTGCAGTGCTCCTTCAGCCGCTTCCGTCAACATGCAAGCACCCCTCCAAACCCGTGGCTTGTGTGCTCTCTCTGCCTTACAGGGCCTTTCCAGTGACATGTTGTATATGGATAGGTGCAAATCAGAGAGATATCTGACCCCAAAGCACTCGTTTCACTTCTGGCTTTCTGAGCTTCTTTAATCTATTTATTAGCCCTTTCTCCCTTCCGTAACTCTCGGGCTTGACAGTGGTAACTTTGACAAAAACAGGGGTAGCTTTCCCGCATGCCAGCGGTGCACAGCCACATTTTTGACACCAGCCGATTACCAGGTGCTGGATATGGAGTAACTGAGCCTCAATCCGCAAACACTTTGTTCTGATTTACAGACATCTTTTAAGCTTACTTATTAGTAACCATTGGTTGAATAATATATTTGTGATTGGTCCTTTCATTTGCTCACCTTGCAGTGGACATTTCAACTTGCAGCTCTTCAGCTTCTTTCAGTCTTCTCTGCTGACAGACCTAGCCGGATCTGGAGAATGCATGTCAGACGATCATGACAGTGCAACCTATAAAAGCAGTCTGATGGTAAGCTGAAATCAGGCAGTATTGCACTCTGCCTATAAATTAGCTCTCCTTGCTGTTTTTGCTTCCTTGATTATTTCTCTTTCTCCATGCTTTGGTCCTTGGCTTGTTCGGCATATACCAACCAGTTAACTCTGGTCTGCATTTAGCTGCTTTTGCGTCGCTTGGACCAATAGTTATATCGAAGATTGCTTACAGGATACGAACCTTCCAGCTTCCGATGAAAAGTAGGGAGAACACCTTCGACTTCAACTGCTCCGCTTGGTCCCGTAGCCGATATTGAGTTCATCGCCCAGACCTTCTGCTGCTTCCGGGATGTTCCCAGCGGTTGTAGCTTCGGCCCATCAACCTCAAGCAACATCAAGATAGCGCCATAAATTTGAGCCAAGAAAGAAGCACGTGTTGCCCCGAGCAGCCTCGAAACGGAAAAGTATTGCGTTCATGGAAAGTAAATGGGCATCATAGCACTATCAAAAAGGCCACCCATTACCGGCCGCCGTGAGCCGAAAACAACGCAGACAATCACGGAAGCAGGATGCCAGGACTCAGGAGCAAAGAAGGTCTGGGGCTGTTTCAGTCTGATGCGTGAGTTTGGTTTGAGATGGTCGCGCTAACTAACTAGTTAGTGTCTTGTGGAATCTGACAGGGGACTCCCAACAGCAATATGGAAACTTATGGAGTTGGTTTTTTTAAAACGAAAAAATTAGCTGCAATTCACGCCGCTTCTGACTCGCGTCAATGCCCTGAGGAGCGTCTCTTTAAGTTGGCCATACCAGTGATGACACCCAGCAGAATGCCGTAAGCATGTTTGTCGATCACGTTCCCAACACCGCCTGTCACCTTAGCCGCATGATGGAGTTCAACGAATTTCCAAAGACAAACCCGCCGAGTGGGATACCGGGATAATTATCATAGTGCCAATTCCAGCAAAATATTGAGCTCTTTTCGAAAACAGTGTTGCGAGAACTGGCGACTGGTGTGCTCGTGGAAGGGCTCTTTGTGTTGTGGCATTCCGCTTATAGATAGTGGGAGGGCCTTGAAATGTCAATAATGACGGAAAAAAGCGAAGAAACACGTGAGGCTTGGGGTGCACTCATCCTAGCTTTATGATATCCACTGTAGCAACCGAATCTTTGTCCCTCAATCCTCTCCCTCGTCGATTGACGAATTTAGGGATAACGCGCCTCCAAGACATTGGTCCTGCTCGGCCTTTCTGGAGCTCCAATGGGTAATCCAGGTCGATTCCGTCAATGTTATGGCCGGCGTTCTGGCGGCGTGGACTAGCTAATTAAGGGTATACCCACCATCTAATTGACATCAATGGATTGAATACTGAAGGTTAATCGCCCGTAGTAACAGTCGGTTATATGGGTGATATCGTGGGGTAGCGATTTACCACCATCTAGTAGTCAATGCGAGGAGCCGGCCAGCGACAGTCAGTTCTTTTATATCACCACCATGAGGGATGAACAACCTTCTGATGCAGTGGAATTGGGGGTCTTCCCCGCGAGCAGCATTGTCCAAAGCCACTTCCTCAGCTGTTCCTCTTCCACCATCAATCCATGTGTGTTCTTCTCACAAACTAGCACCAAAGTATAGGATCAGACAACCCAATGAAAACAAAACAAGACGAGAAAGGGTATGCTGGAAAAGGGAGAAACAGCTGCTAAGGTATCAAGTATAATGAATTCACTCGGAAGAGAAGATTTTTGAAAAGCAATGGCCACTAGAAAGACTCACCTCTCCCAAAGGTCAACACCACAGTAGTGCCGGTAACGCTGAGCCATCAAGGAGTTATATTTAGTTCATGGTGGAGGAATACACTGAGAAAATGGCCAAAGAGCACCGCAGGAGTGAAAATATGGTTGAAAGGTATGGTAGTGAGACATTGGAGCTGCGCCTGAGGGAAGAAGATCTGAAACTCCAGAAGAACACTTCTCCACTCTTTTATAGCCCAGGCCTCGGGGTTCGTCGCCTCGAGCTCTTCACTTGGGAGGTTGTCTCAACAGCGAGACGTTTTGTAAGATTGACATGGCCTTTGGTTGATGCTAGTCATCAAAGCATGAATATGTGGATGCCATGCTAGCAAATAATCATTGACATAAATACTGATTAGTTGGCAACCAGTAGCTAGTTAATTGTGACAGGCAAGATTCACACAGCTAGTTATGACTAACTAGTGAGCACCTTGGCAGGACATGACTGGAAGTAATGGATCAACCATGAATCTCGCCTGACATTATATCGCCTGCATTACATACAAAGGTGCTGACTGATTATGGGTCATGTGACCTTGGGGCTAGTCGGATTACGTAAGTTAATACTCCCCATGCGGCGGAAGCTCCAAGCACTATATAAAGCCTCAGATCTTTCTTCTTTCCTAGTTGATTCTTTTCTTTCCTTTCCTTTCTTCATTCAAAAAAAAAAAAAAAAAAAAAAAAAAAACCAAAAATTCCTTTGCTTCTTCGGTTTATGCCGGGAATAATCGGTACTGCGTTCGTTCCATATATATATATATATATATATATGGGGGGGCCGCCGTTGCTCCTCCAGAAGCACCCCGCCCGACGGGGCATTTGAATATAAATGTGACCATAAAGTGAGAGGAAGCTCTTTAAGAAGCTCCTCAGCTTTATCGGTCATCTTCATATAAAACAAGAACAGATTGGCGGTTAACCTAATGGATCACCCACGAATCCATCCAGATTCCAGGTCCCAGTTCCCGCTGATCGGTGATACCAAATTCTCTACAACCTCCGCACTCAAGTTGCCTCCTACGGAGCTGCACATGAGTGCAGTCGAAGCTCTACAGAACAAAATAATGATTCCGATTGCGAAAGTTCTCCCCGAAACATTTAAAGATAATTTTACGTTCAGAATTCAAGCTACGATGTCCGAATATGATTCCAAGAGGGGGCCCTAAGCCATGGTGAAGTCCCAGATGGACAACTTAGCTATTCTACCGGCCCCCATGACCTATACCCAAACACCATCTTCGTTCTCCAGGTCTGGTTCCGTGAAACTTACGAATCCTTGGTCAAATCCCTGAAGCTGTGGCTCGAGGGAAATAGGCATGTGGAGATGGCAATCTTGATAAATTCACCGAAAAGCCCCAGTATAGAACCCCGGTGCATGTTCCCGAACCGCCCGCCAACTTCAAGAAGGACGCCCAACTACCAATCGTGGATGTCAAGCCACAAGTGATAGGGCAGGCGGGTCGCTCGTTGATTCACGATCAGGTATTTGCGAACAGAACAACGGCGTTCTGTGAACTGTGGGTTCGAAATCGAAAGACGGGAGCGCCACAGATGCAGGGACATCGCGAGGCAAATGCTTCTGTTCTAATTTGTGGGTGATATGGAATTAATATTTAATGAACTCGTAGATGTTTTACGACAGCGCCGCTCCAGTACCCATGCAGCGTCCTCAATTAACCATAGATTTTGACCGTGACTTCGTGCTCAATGATCTAAAGGAGTTAAGAGGACAAAGTTGTATCATTGACTGGCCAACAATCGCCTCTCAACTAGATGTCAGTCACAAAAAGACAGCCATTGCCCGCTATAGACATGTTCTTCAGCGCTACCGTAAGGAAAAGGACAATCATTTTCAGGACAAGTGATGATGATTCTGAATGTTGTGGTGTGGCAAAGTGAATATTGCTTCAACATTCTTTTAAGTCTGCATGAGGTTTCACCCTTGTGGGTGGAGGAGTTTTAGAGAGAGTGTTCTAGCATAGAAGATGAACTAATTAAAAAAATAAGATGTAAAATGTAACCTCTAATTAGTTACATAGCTAGTTAGCTAGTTAGTGAGTAACTGGTGATTTTGGGAATCATAGGTTGCAATGAGGCGATTATCATGAAGCTGGTTTCTTCAACTCTCAACTTAACGGAAGCCTTCGTGACACACGCCACTTCGACGGCTTGACTCGATGGCTTTATTCTCTTCCTCCCCTTTTTTTTCCCAGGAGAATCTCAGAAGCTGCGTGTTGTCGCGTAAGCTATTTCGTCAGTCGTCCCTGTCACTAGCATTGCAGGTCGGTTGTATCCTTGCGGCTACATACGGCCTCTGGCCCTCTGGTTCAACACCAGACGATAACGGCTTTGAGAGCTAGAAGCTAGTTATAGGGGTCAAACGATAGTTAGCTTTACCAGTATGCAATGCTCAAGGAACACAGCCGCCCCGTGTGCACGTTCTTCGGTCGCGCTTCGAACGGTGATAGATAGAACTCTTGTGTGTGAGCTTGACAGATGTGCAACCCTAACAACAGGGTTCTTCAAGATCAAAGACATCATCATATCACTACATCCGCCCATTTTCTTAAAATTGTCCTTTGTTCGGAGCGGATGTCACCGAGCGCAAAGCGCCATTTGGCAATCGTTGCACATACATACGTAATGTCCAAATCCTGCCCGGCATCGCCTTTGCAAGACAAAAGTAATGACAAGACCACACGGCAGATCTTTCCACACAGACTCAATATTAATGGAACCAATTGCTGCGGAAAACCTTCTTGTCCCTTTTAGTTTTGCTTTGGAGCGAGCGCAGCATCTCCTAATTGGCTGCAGGTTTGTTTAGTATGGTCGATGGCAAAAGATTGAAAGAGTGGTTTCTGGTGTCTGTGCTCAGGCCGAAGATATGCCAAACGCCGTCTCACAGGTTATTGATTTGACGTTGTTGGCTCCCAGCCCAGGATCTAAGTTAGCCAGGTCTGTGGAACCAGATTCGTGCCCAGAAGATACACACGCCGATCGTGTCGAGAATCACGCAAACGGCGTGCCAGGGACAGTGCGTCTTGCTCCGATCGTCCTTCGTACTATTCTCTACATATCATCCACGAGTGAATACCACAATATGCAAAGTCTCCGGTGGCCGTCCATTGGTTGCCGCTGTTGTTCTCTTCCCGTTTTCGACCTTGATTTTCGCTTGAGGCTTTGGACCAGAACTGAGGGTTGAGGAAGTCCACGGATCATTGACTCTCTAACTCTCGGCGGATCCTCCAACCACAGCCTGTCACCACAGTTCCGTGGTTGGCTCTCGAAAAAGCCAAAAAACGAAATCTGTTAGTGATGACATGATGTATCTTCAGGTGTTCCCAGTTCCGCGTCAACAGATCATACGTCGTTGACGTTGTCGTTACTTTCAGCGGGAGGAAAGACTATGGCCTTGAACCGGGATAAGCCTAGTGACTAGCAGTGGCGCCTTCAGCTCTTTTCAGGTTTGTCGACTATTTGTTACGCATCCGAACAAACAGGAAGAGGCTCCCCATTGTCCATTGTTTTGCGTTTTCCGTTGCCTGCAGAGATTTTATATGGAGACAGTCTGTGGGAAAGGAAAAAAAAAGGGACTGAAAATAGAACCCTCAGGTGCCGATGCACCCGAATTTTGGTGGCTCTCGGGGTTTCGCGACCAGAAAGGCCCGTTATGGGATCAGTTATAAGCGTAGTTTATCCGTTTCCTTCGCGGGCAGCGGAATGGGAATAATAATACAGAGTAATAAGAGTAATAGCAGGCCGTTGATATGACGAGGACAGCAGCAGGAATGAAACCAGGCGCGGGCCCTCTCCGTTGCTTCGAGAGCTCAGTAGTCGAGGTGGTCAAACGATCATACTGTGTTCGAGGCTTCTTCGCTTAAACCTCCAGCTGGTCAGGCCATTAGCGCCAATATTCTCAGCATGAAGTTTTGGAACATACTTGCGTCTCAAGTACCTCCTCCGTACCGCATGGCAGACGCCACCTTGCAAATCACTTGTTTGCAATCCGCTTCATCCATTGTCAGATCCCTGGGCCCCCCAACCATCCTGTCACCCTCAACCTTAAAGCAATTCTCGGTATCTTTGCTCTCCTCTCCACTCAAGGCGTCCTGAACTGCTCTGTGTTCGCTAGTGGCCCCTCCATCCCATAACGCCCCCCGGTCCACAGGATGATCGTCGTTCTGATTCGGATCTCTCTGACGGCGAGACTGCGTGGCCCATGTAGAAAGGGTGCCAGCTGCAGGTTATGCATATCTAATACGATGTATTTCTCTGCCAAAACACACCCAGGTCAGACCTCCGTCATCTCATGATTGCTACTGCTTCCCTCGTTCTCCCGCCCTTTTTTCTGTCTTTTGCCATTGCCGCTGCCCCGTTGCCCTTCTTTTTTGTTCCTTTTCTCTTCTCCCGTTTTCAACAATCTGTCTCCCTCGCTGACAACGTTCTCCGTCTTGAAGATTGTGGGTGACTTGCTCTCTCTCTGCAACGACTCCCCACCTGCCAGTCAATCAATCCCACGGCGGAACGATAACAAAAGCACTTGGCATCGATCTCACCTTTTGAGCTGTCCAATACCTCGACTGCATTCTCTGTTTGGATCTGGGCCAGTTGACGTACTGGTCAAGTGAGAAAAGGAGTTGCTGGCGCCGTCGCGACCACCATGAATTCGTGGTGTTGAATGGCTACCGAGTCCTTGCATGAGATATTAAAAGACTGACCGGTGGAACGTGGAAGTCGTCATCAACGTCGCCTCCGGCTGTCATACAGTCGTCCGCCCTTAGTTGTTATATATATTACTTTCAAAAGAACCTTGACGATCGTTGAAACCTCCATATGCCCCGCCAACCATCGCCGGCTGAGCAATCAAGAAAAATGGCTGTGTCATACTCATCGGGTCACCCGCCAGGGCATGCCCCGAAGCTCCCTTCCTTCCGAGAGGTAAATATAAATTCTCTTTTTTGATCCCAATGTCACTTGCCCCCTACCGTTAGTCTCTCCATCGCTGATATTGGGATGTATGTTGTGATATCCAGCTTCTGCCTGATTATCTTCATGATGAAATAGATTCGGCCTCATACCATTTACACGCTGGCTCCAATCACCAGGGCAGCCATTTACCTCCCGTCCCCGGGCGGGATTTGGCATCAAAACGAGGGTCAGGGAGTCGCCATCACCCTGGGTCAGTGAGTCGAGGGCAGGACTACGATAGCCCACACGTACGGCACAGCAGCTACCTAGAGGGGCAGTCGCGATATCACAGTCACCATCTCCCGCAGGAACGTCAATATTATGATGATAGAATGCCATTGACTCCTACTTCACGTAGCAGCCGGCACCTTGACCCAAGCGATCATGCAAACTATCTGCCGCCGTTGCGCAATTATGAACCAGTGACCGGGCCAATCTCGTCTTCTGCCCGAAGGCATGAAGAAAGGGGTTATGACCTTGCTTACGACACTGAACGGGCAGGCTACGCCTCTTCTCGCTCCAGCACTATAGGCTCAATGGCGCATGGAACGGCAGGCCCCTATCCATCAGCATACAACAGTCCAGCTCACGGATCGTATCAGTCGTACTATGGGGGTGAACATGAATCCGCAGCTCAGAGTCACTTTACAGACGCAAAATCTACAAAGTATGATTCTTTTGGGGATAGTGCGGACTCCAAAAGCAAGAAAAGACGGGGCAATCTTCCAAAGCCGACTACAGATATACTACGCGCCTGGTTTTATGAACATCTCGATCACCCCTACCCGAGTGAGCAGGATAAGCAGATGTTCATAACCCGTACCGGGCTAACCATCAGCCAGGTGAGTGATACTCCACTGATATTCGCATTTGCATCGGGACTAAGCTGTACGCATGTAGATCAGCAACTGGTTTATTAACGCTAGGCGCCGACATCTCCCAGCATTACGGAATCAGGGTCGCGCCCCGGAGTCTGAAAGAGTACGCCCGAGTTCTGCCATGAGTGAGGACGATCCAGATTATGACACATCGCCGTCTCGCCGCTGAGATGAGAGAGATTTGGCATGCTCTACGGAGTACGACCCAATCAATTTTTCACCAGCTTTTGAAGCAATTCTTTCGTTTGTCGGGCATTATCGGCATGGGAATGGCCTTTCGGTTGAAAATACTGTATTCCATTCATTTACTTTCTACAATGTGTTATTTGACGCCTCTTTCTTGGATTCTTCGGCATGGGGGATGGACAAAGGATATCTTGGGTTTTCCATTCTGCCCAATCGGTTGTTTGCTCCCCGTTTGCGCTTTTTCTGAGATAACGACATTTTACGGCTCGGTCCGATTTTGGAGGAGGACAAAGGGAGGGGGGAAATTCAAATCTGTGTACAAGATCTTATGGGTTTGTGTGCCATAGCGTGGCGTATTGGTGTTTTGACCCTTTTTTGGCTTTGAATTGTTTTTTGTTCGCTTTCGCCTTTTGGCTTTTTCCTTTTCGTTAGATGCCTTCAGGTGATCGATGCATCTTTTGGAATGCCGAATCCTGAGAGATTCAAAAACGCATCCTGACAACTGCACGTTTTCGGCAGTGGTGGTTGGCCCTGTGCATAGTTTTGGCTAGATACTAAGAAATAGATCTATCAACTTTAACAGTCCCGTTCTTTGGAAATCTACGCCATGACCTGTGGGCCATGAGACAGGTAAACGCGCTGAATTAGCCATGTGGCCGTCCCCATTTGATACCTGGCATTCATTGCGTTTTCAACCTGGACTGCAGCACCCGATTGAACAGGGTAACTATCTTCTTGTAGCAAACAATTGCAGATCCAACACAACTCCGTACACCCGCATTCACCGTCGGGACTTGGAAACAAAGATCGGAAAGTTCCCATATGCAATGCAATGCTGACAATCTTCCGATTGCCCATCATCTCCCCCCACGCAACCCAGAGACAGGACAGATGCCAAGGACCTAGAAGAAGCCACCGATTTCGAGGAGCAAAAGACAAATGTGACACAGGAATAAAAGAAGATAAAGAAAAGAGAAAAAGCAAGGAGGGCGGTGGTGAGGGGCTTCAGGTGAAGAACCAAGCATCTTAAGTTCTCCATCCATTCATCAGCCCCGTTTAAGGCCTCGCTGGTGAAGGTATTCCGTCCTGCGGCCTATAGTCATCCCCGAAGCCCGATTCGGGGACCACCTTTCTCCTACATATGAACAGGCGCTGCAACTCTTTTTTACTTTCTTGACCCGTGGATGCAAGACTTCCCATGGTACTTGCTAAGACACACGCATCATTTCCATGGAATTAACAAAAGCAAAGACGAAAAAGAAAACGCCTTGTGAACCGCAACGGTCTAGAGGGCCGGATCGAAAGTTTGGAGTGCCGGTTCGGGACCTGAAAGTGGGCACCGTATTTGCTCCTGGAAAACTCCTTCCAGTCTGGAAAGTCTCTGACATGGCGACACGGATTTCCCCTAGCTCGTCCTTGCTGGATCAAGTTAGGAATCGTGTGAGGATCATCAGCCATTTTCCAAACAGTCAGTTCTGATAAGACTTGCTATTAGTTACCTTGGTTCCGGGTTCTTTGAGCACTGTTACAATGAACAAAATAGATGGGCTTTCGGATCTTGGTCATCACTCAAGAACCTCGTCGTATGCTCAGCTTGATGCGACATCAAAGTGCTCCCCCCCCTTTCCGCCGTGCCTGATCCCGCATGCTTGTTTCACGCTTTGCTTTTGCATGCATTATTAAACCTGGGGGAGACAGGGCGAGGAGTGACATGCAAGTCCCGGTCTGGCCTGGAAAGGCAAACATACCTGTGGCACAAGGGACGGAAGTGCCGGACTTGATTGTTGGTTACAGGCAAAAACCCTAAAAATCTCTCTTCGAGACGCAAAGTGCCGGTTCTCCAACATGAAACCGATAGTTAGAGTAGTGCCCCAACCCCCTTGATGACCCAAAACACGATCTCGACCTCGATCTGCCAAGAGGGTTCGGCGTGTTTTCAGGAGGGAGCTAAGTTAGGGCCAGGGAATAATCCAAGCAAGGGTACTACTTTAGGGCTTAATTCAAGACTAAGATGTGAGTGATTGATGATGAGAGGTGATCGAAGCTTTGGCTTCTAGTTCTGATCGAAGACATTATTTGCTGGATGGTATCAACTGATTTCATTCATAGAACAAGCTCCAACCATATCAAAAAAGACATTTCCTAGCATTTGCTCTAACGCTATTGTATCAAGGAACAGCAAGAGATCAGAGCTCCAATCCTGACGCAAGTCATTGAAAAAGGTTGAGCCCGTCCCAGGATGCCAAATGATAGGGTGGGTTGATTCATGGATTGCCAGACATTGGAGCCAGGTTCCTCATGTGAGGGCCTATAACAAAGTACATGTTATTGACGTTTCTAGCAGCGTATCGACGGGAGTAAGGGGCCAGGAGCTGAAGACCAAGTTGCGATCACCACTTCCAATTAGTTAGTCAAGGATCTCAACCTCCTTTTTGGCCACATGTTTCAACGACCAAGACGGCTTCGTCCAATATAAAGAATTACCGCGCCAAAAGGTGGCTGGTGGAGCAGGGTCTTTCGTCAAAGCCCTGTCTATATTATCTTCTCCACAACAATTATCAACGGCTCTATAATAGCCATAGTATTAACGAAAAAGGATCCCGGTTCCCGCTCTGGAGTGCTGGCCCCATGTCAAGCAATGATATCCCCATTTTTTAGAGAATGCGACGATGGACGGAGCCTCACACTACATACAATTGATGAGCCCACATGGCACGCAGTGGATCCGCTGCTACTCCCACTCCTCCTCCGAGTGGTGGCTTAGAATGGGGGCCTTGCACTGTGGATTTCTGCAAAACTCCTTGCTCCCCAAGGTGCGTTTGGACTTACCAGGGCCGTGGGCTCCTCCGGGTTTGATACCAGCATAATGGAACTTGTTTAGGGCCAGACGTACCCGCATTCAACATTGAGGGCCGGCTCGCATGATCCCTCGGCCTCAGTAGCTTCGACAAGCAGGTTAACTTGGGCGGAGGTAGCGACTCAAGAAGATGTATGGAAGTAGCGTGGGAGGTGGGTTCTTGTTTCCCTTCGTTGACGCTCATATAGCTCAAGGACACTATGGTGCATAGTTTCAAGCCTCGAAGGGTCTCCATTCAACTTTTGTCACTTAATACGAGGCCCCAAGAAATCAGCTCCCGTTGAAGAAAACGTGGTGAACTCGTTTTCATCCCGTTTCTCATGTTGTTTCTTCATTCATTTGGAGGCGAGCTTGAAAGACTACAGCACTAGGTCAAAAGTATGGGCCACAACGTGAAATTGAGGCTACTATTGCCACTTGCTGAATCTCCCGGCACGAGTTATGAACATCAAAAGCCGGTGCGCCCCACTAGCACGAGGGAACGTCCCCAATTCTCCTCGAAAAAAATTATATTTTGCTTTTTGACACCATGCTAGTCATATCGCATAAACTTAGCTCAGGGACACGGGCCTCAAGAACAACAGAGAGCATAACCAACCCCACAGGATGACACGCGGATCGATCGAATCGTCAAACTCCGAATTGTGCCTGCATCTGCCGGGCGCTCGGATGGGTGAACTGTGAGGATAAAGCCGCGATCATTTTATTCAAGAATCGATGGAACATCGGATGGCATCCATGAAGGTCTTGCAGGTTTACCCTTTTTTTCGGCCAAGGGAAGATTGACCCTTGAGTCTCAGAAAGTCTCGAACACCATTGTTATGATTCACCACAATGAAGAGCATGGACGAAGGAGCAGCCTGGCTCGGAGTTGACGCGGTCGGCTTGAGTGGCTTGGTTGAACGCCTCAGCATCTCCACAAGAGGTATTCTCCACAGTGGACATCATAAACCACCTGTTGTTTCCCATCACTTCCGCTCTGGCAGCTTGAAGGTTCGAGCAAGGGCCGTGGGCCTGTTTAGGAGCGTTTAGCAACTACTGACCGTTTGTGAGAGAGAGTTGCAGCCTTGGCAGTGCATTGGCGCCATCATGATCGTTCTTAACGAAGATGGATCGCTTGTGGACATGGGCCGCCGTCATTGTTCTTGGGGTTTAAAATCGGGTTGAACTGTTTCAAAGTCAGCAAGGGAACGCGATATTCCTAATGCGCAAAGTGAAAACTCTCCCCCATCATCCAGGAGTTGCTCGCTAGCATCCAGTTGTGATCATCACGGGCTAAATGGTCTCGAATCTCGAGAATTATTAATGGAATTATCACATGACTGCGTCTTTCTAGGGCTTGTGAAATGCAAGCAACATGTCCGTTTCCAGATGTATCTCTGCCGGTGGGATACCCGAGACTTTTCATTAGCAGGGTGACTAGCCTTCCCGTTAGGCAACGGATAGCAAGGGGAAATTGTCTGAGAGGCAAATACCCGGGAAAGACCGGAAATCCCGCCCTATGATTGATTGGCAAGAATGGTATTGATACAAGAATGGTCAAAATCTTGATCACCAATGGTTTGGCCGTCTCCCAAATACACGGATGGTCATTGATTTGCTTATGAGGGCATCAGACTAAAGGTGAACAAACAGAAAACCTCTAGAAACCAGATCAGGACTATTTTGCAATCTTGCAAATTGGTCCGAGATGAATCCGTTATGTTCCATTCGGAGTACCCCTTAGTTCATTCCCTTGGCACGAGCCGCCTGAAGGAATGTATCAGCGTTCCGCTCTTCCAGAGAAAGGTAGCAGTTCAAGGCAAAACGTACCTTCAAGGGGGTTAGCCATATCTTGCAGTTTTTGGAGGATGCTACCCCCAGGACGATCGTCCTGCTCTAACTCCAATCCTGCGCAATCATCTTTTTGGAAAACTCCCAACGAGGGTCTGTTGACACTTCTATCAGATGCGATTTTTAGAACTGCTGCACAGGCATCTTCCTTGATTTGACGCCATTAAGTTTCAAATATAGCACAAATTGGTCACTCACAAGAGGCGTTTCAATAGTCTTTCAATTGCGTCAGACTTTACCCAAAGAATACATCAATAATGGCATACCAGGGAGATGCCGTGTTGACTCGAATCGGGTGGAGCCATGGGGTGCGCCTGAGCGAGCGCATCAACCCTCTCACCCCAAATTTTGACGGGCAAGAGTCCCTTCCTGTGGTCAAGATATGAGCTCATGCTAGCTTTCAGAATCAAAGATTTCCTCTGACGGCGAAAATGTTGAATGGCAAGATCCACGGTGTACACGGTTCCGAGGAGGCTGATGTCTATGATCGAAGTATCCGGCTTCGCTAGAGGGAGTGATGGATCTATTCGGATACGGATCAGATCCTCCAGCCTAGTTGCCCTATATTTCATGATATAGATGGGATGAGGTAAAAGAATAGATGGAATCTATCCGACTTCCCTTTGTGAAGGATCGGCTGCAAGGACTCCTGCATTTGCGATAACAATATCACAGCTCTTGCCTGGCAAATTCACAGGCGCTGTCTCAAATAGCTTCCCCCGATCCTCCCAAGAAGGAACGTCGCATTTAACGAACTGGCAAAGCCGTGAGAACCAAAATCACTGTGTACAATAGTTGATGTAGGAGAAAGAAGGTTGCCTTTGTAATGCAACAGCAAGAGCGGCGCTTTCGGCTTTTTTGATATCTTCAAATGTCACATATGCTCTAGATTCGGAGCAAAGGGGATGTTAACTTTTGTCGATGTAGCTAGCGAAGGTATATCAATTAACCCCGCGGCCGTGAAGTTTTTGACATTCGCAACTTCATCCCATTGCCCCTATGGGCGGCTTTATAAAAAAATTAGTACAAAGGTATCAAACGCCATCTGTACCGCCAGTTATCACAGTACTCTTTCCTGCAACGCTTTGGAGATTCAGCGGCGAGCACTTGCGGGTGGTCTCTGGGGATGGACATGTTGGGCAAACTTGACAAATTCACTGGAAATAACTAGCTAGGCAACTGTAAAAGCATTTTGGTTCTCAACATGGGTTGTATATCTGCACTGCTATACTGTGACTGAAGTTGCGAGTGCTGATTGAGGGTGCCTGACTAGGTCCCAGAACGGATCATAATTAGGGTTTAGGGCTTCTGGGATGCTGTCATTCTTCGCCGACAGACAAAGGTCGACATCAGGATGCTGTGCATTCAGCTAGTTCTCTATCCATGGGGGAAGTAACAAACAGTCTGTTTCTTATAACTAGCTGCTTGACTATTGAGCGGAGCTCTGAACTATCGGCCCGCAATACCGTCTTCAACACCGCAACGAGACATACCAAGTCCCCGCGAACGTCCACATGGCTGCTTTAAGGAGCCTCAGCGCTCTGTTACAACAAAGCTCGGTCGTCGATCACGACGAAATCATCAAAGCGTGCAATTTGATTTTGAAGAAATCGAAAACCGATCTTGAAGCACAACATGTTAAGACGGTGGCATTGCTCAAGCAGGATCGCTACGACGATGCGATACGGGTGATAGAGGACGGAGGAGATGCGCTGAAGCAAAGAGCTCCACTGGAGTGGGCATATGCTTTGTATAAAACGGGAAGACTTGACGAAGCTATCGAGGCGGCCACCAATTCAGGCAAAGGGAGAGGAGCAAAGCATGTCGAAGCGCAAGCGGTTCGCACCCCCGCGCCTACACCAGGCCGTGACTTTGGTGAATTGAGACTGATAATTGAACCTTCCTCTTAGGCATACCGGGTAGAACACTTCCAGCGGACAAAGGCTATATATGCAGAGCTATATGGGGACCAAGGCGCCTCGGCACAAGAGCACACAGATCTACGGATTAACATGACCGCTACAGAGGCTCAGCAACAATGGGCTGGGCATCGGGGGTCTACGCAAAGGCCTAAGCCTAGTGTCGATGATTTACAAGTGTTTGAAACGACGTATAACATCGCCTGTGAATATATCGCGAGGAACGAATTTGACCAGGCAAGGCTGCTGCTGGGAAGGGCAAAAGGTTCACCCGCCTCTACCCTCCGCTAGCTACTGAGAAGCTAACATCTACATCGTCTAGAACTCTGCAAATCTTCTGAGGAGCTTTCGCCGGAAGATAAGAAAGCCGAATTACTACCAATTTCAGTTCAGCAGTTATATGTTGAGTTGCGACAAGGGAACCTTGACGAAGCTGCAATTCTGGTCGAAGAGATCAATACTTCCGAGTATGTATTATTTACTTTCATAAAAACCATTTGACTGACTCGACCTGAAGGATATCTGAACGATCGACCAAGAAAATTGGCCAAAACAACATTCTGCTCGCTGCACACCAGGATTCCAATCCCTATTTACAGTACAAACTATTCCATGAAACTCCGCAATCAACTCAAAGTGATAAACTATTTGGGTATCAAAGCGCAACTTTGAACCAAAATACTAACACCATCGAGCTCCTTGTCCACAAATACGATGGCGTCGTAAGGTCAACATCAAGAACGCTCTCCCAGCAAAGTTTCCCTACCACGTCAAAAGATATCAACGCTCTTTCAGTTTTCAATGTTGCTGCTCATACTCAGAATCAAACCGGTCGAGCCGCCTTAAAGCAAACACTCTCTTTGTTAGAAAAGCGACCCCACGACGTTGGGCTCATCCTGCTTGCAATCCAATTATATATTGACGGTGGCAATGTGAGCTCTGCAGTATCTGTGCTCGAATCATTTTTAAAACAGCTTGACGAATCGATATCGGAATCAGAACAAGAAGTCCGTTATAATCCTGGCCTCATTAGTATCCTCATCGCCCTCTATAAACTCCAAGGTCGGAAAAGGCAAATAAATCTTGAGCTCTCAAAAGCTGCAACATATTGGCGCCAACGCTCCCAGCAAGATCAACCGTTGTCACTGCTGCGTGCTGCTGCATCTTCGCTTCTCCAATCTCAGGACTCTCCCGATCTCCACAATGCCGCCGAAATCTTTGAGACCTTGCACGCAATCGACCCAACAGATCCAATCGTCAAAGCTGGGTATGTCGCATCTCACGCCGTAACCTCTCCGTCCAAAGTCCAGACCGATATCCCCGCACTGGCACCAATCCAAAATCTAGTTTCCGGCATCGATGTGGCTGCCCTCGAAGCCGCGGGCATCCCGTCTGCTACCACTGCCACTACTTCAACATCTCTCAAACGTAAAGCGGAAGACGACAAGCAGCAACAAACTGCGCCTAAAAAGAAGCGGATACGTAAATCTCGCTTACCCAAGGATTACGACCCGGATAAGAAACCCGATCCAGAGCGTTGGCTCCCATTGCGCGATCGCTCTACGTATCGGCCAAAAGGGAAGAAGGGAAAGCAAAGAGCGGCTGATCGTACACAGGGTGGTATTGCGAATGACCAGGAGACAGGTACGCCGTCTGCGGGCGTGGTGCAGCAGAAGAGTCAGGGTGGTGGGGGAGGTAAGAAGAAGAAGGGAAAAGGGAAAAGATGATGGATTTGAGCATGCTGACTTACATGGGGTAGCATTCTCACAAGAACCTTTTGTTCATTGTAGAACCAATAACTATACACCGGATACATTTGAATAAACATGGAAAATTTTCCAAAACATATCAAGTAATATTGCTAGTTTCTGCATACATAGCTTGCTAATCAACAGCCAAGATAAAACCAAAATCCATGTCCATCTATTTTGAAACAAAATGCTTGATGGTAACCAAACGGAAATTTATCGCCTGAGCTTCATGCCGTTGTATCATGAGGAGAAAAGAGCCGAACAAGACCTAAAGCAGGAAGGAGAAAAAGAAAAGGAGTCGGGGACGAAAAAGAAGAGGAAGAAAGGGTAGGGAAAATAGTAAGCAGCAGATGCTATCTTTGCGAATTGCTCTTTGGTAAACACCCTGTTCGAAAGAGATCTATAATTTGAGATTTATGATGAGAGAGAAAAGGACGGACACCATGATGCAAGTACCGTTACCAAAAAGGGGGTTGCAAAGAGACATCAACAACTATGAAATCAGGGTTGTGCGCTGGAGAAATAAAGGCCCATAAAAATGATTTGCGGCATGGTAGGAAATAGTGTGCTCTCAGACGTTAGGATGGATGACAATTGTAGTGATGTATAGGGCGTTGCGGATTTTCCGTAGAAAGGTTATTGTATAGGGAAGAGCACGATAACGATAGGACGCCATGCTAGAGGGTCAACTACCATGTTTCCTAGGATATAAAAGTTAGCATAAGCTAGAACGCAGCCTGACTGGGGTTCACACATACAGCAATATATTGGCCAGCACTCTTTTTACCTTCCCAAAACTGCTGGGCCTCCTCACGGTTCAAATTACCTTTAGCCATAGCCACATCTACCAATGCGGCCTCCACCCCTTCGCCCATGCCTTTGCTGCTGCCACAGACAAAAACACGCCCGTCCAATGCATTAATCACGTACCAGACAAGATCTGCCTGATTGCGCACCTCTTCTTGGACATAGCGCCCTTCTCCACGCCTGCTCTGGACAACCTTCTTCACAGTCTCTTCGTGCACGCCCCATTCGCCGGAGTAGAGCTCATCCAGCAACGAGTCTCGAATGCCTTGAAGAACCCAGACTTTATTCGCGCAGTTTGCCGATTTTAAACGTCGCTGGACGAACCCACGGAAGGGCGCGACCCCCACGCCGGCTCCGATTAGGAGCATCGGACCGTCCAAAACAAACTCCCGAGCAAGAGGATTGGCCATGAGCCCACGAAACATTGGGATGTGAAGGTCGAGGGAACCCACATCGACGCCGGAATTTTCAGCATCGATGACCTTTTGGGCAATCCGCTGCAAAAATCCGGATCCAACGCCTGTACGTTTTCCGCCTCGCCAGTCAGGACAATCATGAACTGTGACAGCAATTTCGATGAGTCGGCGGCGTTTGCCATCATTCACGGTTTGTGAAAGAAGAGGGTCTTGCGAAAGTGAATAGAAACGAGGCATAAGGGGGTTTAAGACGGAGAGAAGGTGGTCTAGTGGTGGTTGAGAAGAAGGGAATGCGTGTAGCAGCTGGGAGACGGTGATGTACTGGCTGGTGCGGAGGTCACAGAATGAACCCTGTCCCTGGGCAGAACAGAGGTACATCAGGATCTTCTTTTCGTCACGATCCGATGCATATTCGGCAAGTAGACGGAGTAAAGGTTTGGTCGGGGGATAACTTTGAAAGTCTGTGCACCAGGATAGCAGCTCTCGTCGGGTGGTGACTAGCTCCCTAGGTTGATCGTCGCCCCAGACGGTGGGCCACCGCCCTTTAGTTGTGCGAAGCATCACCTTTTTGTCTCGAACGGTTTTCGGGACGCCGAGGCAATTGAAGATATCCTCGACCACCTCATCATCGTTCTTTGGACAAATCCCAATAGCGCCACCAACCACAAAATCAACATCTCCACCCTCAGTAGGATAATCCGTAATATCTATATCAAAATGGAATGTTCTTTTCTCTGCGCCCGATTTCGTCAACTCTCTCGAATGATGAAGTGGTGCTCGATAGACTTCGTAGGGGGGATGGGGCTGAACAAAAGACGGCGGATGATCTGAAGGGCCTAGCTGGTTACCCACGACCTCTGTAGGAACCGGGGAGAATGAAACCGTCTTTTCAGGTAGTTCCGCAATATTCGTAAGGTCACTGCCATGGGATAAAGTACCCAGGTATAACTGAAGACTGTCAAAAGTGTCATTCTTTGGTGTGATCACTGGATTCTCAACAGAAACCGGTCTCTTAAGAGGCTGTAACTTGCAGCACCCCCCACCACAGCAGAGTTTCTCAACTCGCCTAGTGCCGGCTCCAACGTTTCCTAAAATTTTCTGAACATCTTCCGAGTTTTGTGAGATCAAGACTGTCGAAGCGCGGCGTCTGTGGGTTGCAAGTTTCGGCTGGGAGGGCCCGTTAGATCCTTGGATATCCAACTTATCAACTCTATCCGCGATATCGTCTGGGAGCACTTCGGTCGCGGGGGTCGATGGCGCCTCCGAGTCGCTAGAAACCTCAGATCCGGTAGTGAATGATGGTAGTGACGACTGAGATCCGAGGGAGTTCATAGAATCAGGGTGGAGGAGCGTCAGATGCGGGACGGCACTAGGTTCCTCGGGAATTGGATTGTCTGGGTGGGATGTGATTGAAACTGGCACGTTGCTCCTGTCTTTGCGTGTGACATCCACGTTTGCGGATGGTATTGCGGTAGGGATAGAAGTAGTGACTGTAGAATTGGCTATTGATAGAAGAAAGAAGGTTAGCGGTGAATTGCAATTGGGAGATAATACGCCGAATGGCAGCCCAATCAAGGGGAACAGCGCGGGACGTATCCATTGAGAATTGTAACCAAACTTGAGGAACTAACCCATTGTGAAGGGCCGTGGTACAATACCACGCGAGAATGGATATGTATGTACGCTAGATTCAAAGCGAGGCTGGTGTCTAGCAAGGTGAATTGTCGGTTAACCGGTAGAAGTTCGCACCACGAGCTGCTCCCATTGATGATGGCGGGGATGCTTCAAAGGGAGGGCACCATGTAGGATTTGGGGAGCTGAGAAATTGGAATAGATCTAGGAGAAAACAGTCATGGCGATGGAGTTGAGAAGGACATGCTGGGTGCAAACCTGGAGAAGAACAACTCCCGTCCTTGCTTTTGGGGGGCTGCTGGGAGGCGAAAAAGCGAAAGATATCGGAATGCCGCGTGCCGTAATTAGACTTCAACCGCCATCTGGTCGAAACAGCCGTACGGCGAAAATTACAAGAGCTTCCATAACCACCACATGAGGCCGAGCCGCTGGCGGTGGTTGTCTCGCAGGCTCAGAGGCGGCTCCTCAACTCCCGACAGCTTGACCTTTCCTTCAAGGCCAATGGTAACGTCTTCTACTTCCAAAATCAAAGCAGTCGTCCCTTGTTGCTGCAGCGCCGACCACCGCCCTGTCCGCAGCCGTAAATTACCGGCGAGCCCCAATACCCGCCCAATACGCCTCCTTATCAGATCAAAACGCACTCCTTCCGTCCTAGCGCGCCAAGGCCACTTCGAGGCTCCAAAAAAGGAAGTTTCTCCCCGCTGGCCGCTTAGTCACGCCACCCGGCGCGGATCAGATAACCCAGCGGGCATCAGATTAGATTAACAGGCCATTATCAGATCCTGTTCTGCCTGCAGCGCATGCAACTTAACTGTAGCCAGTTACGAATTGCAATTGCGCTGTCAAGTTGGACGGGGTTTAGAAAGTGACGACCGCACAATCACGGCCCTGCTCCTCCCTACCATGTGGAGAAAACCGGCACGCATCCTTGGGCCAACAGGAACAGCATGCGAGGGCAACCTGCCATTCGATATCAATACATGACTTGACGTAATCGTGTAATCCCACCGTCTTGTGTCTGTTTCTCATGGTTGCATTATTGACGGTGATCTCTTCCTTGGTTAATGACCCACACAAGCTTTCTAACTCTCAGCTTAACTACTCATGCACCTGCTTCCTGCAAGAGTCCCAACAAAACGGACACGCTGAAGTTTGACCTCCCAGTCTTCTGTTTTATCAGTAACTAAAATACAAAATGATGATTACCGCGACGCCGGCCCAACATCGGTGGGATTCGATCAACTGGGGTTGTTAGACCCTTCCCGCCGTACAGCCCAACAAGCATCTGTGCTGCTGAAGCCCGATGCAGAGGATCAGGGGCCGCCATTTCTTGAATCCCCGACAGCCATGGGGTGGCTGCTGCGAATGCCACTATTTGTTGTATTTCAACAGCACATGTAATCCGCCTCTCCAGTGCTCGAAATCCGTGCACGTCTAGTATCCACATCATCGTGACAAACAGTGACCATACGTCTACCTTGGGTGTTTGCAAGCCTCCCATGCTCATTTCTGGCGCCATGTAAATTCTGGTCCCAATGATAGATTTTGCCGTGTTGGCTCGACTGGAGCATCCAAAGTCTGTGAGAATGAAGACAGCGCGGCCATTTGGCTCGAATGTATAAAGGATATTGTCTGGTTTGACATCGCGATGGATTATCTCAATACAAGCAAGATAATCCAGGGCTCGAAGCATGTGGCACAGTACTCGCCTAGCGACCTGTTCAGCGTCCTCTCCCGCTTGAATAAGAGACACCAAATCTCCATCCTTTAAGCTTGTGAATATCTTCACATTTCCTCCGCCCCAGCCTTGTGAGCCTAAATACTCGATAATATTTGGCTATCAATACATCAGTTCGGCGGCAATGACACAAATCTTCAAAAAGGGACTGATCTACTTACATGCCTTGCCTGTCGAATTGCATGCATTTCACGTTCGAGCAGCTGATACTGCTGAAGCTTCTTCAGTCTCTCAGCCTCTGTAGCAACTTTCCCTGTCTTCAGCTGCTTTACCGCCATGAGCTTTCCGGTGTCCACGTCCAGAGCCTTGAAAACCTCGCCGAATTGGCCAGAACCTAGATTTTTGGTTTTGACAAATCTAATTGTTCGAGCTTGCCCTTCAGATCGCCGAACTGAACTGAACATTAGTTTACCATCTGGACTCGGAAATCGGTAACGGTCGCCGTATTTGCTTGCTTTCTCACGTTTCCTAGCCATAACCTTTGCCATCGTTTCTTCAGCATCCCCATGCCATAATAGTACGAACTGCACCGTTCCAGCTCTTCCGCTGCCAATCCCAAACATCGTATTAAGTCCATGTGCCACGACTATTCGCCGCTCCCGACCATGTTGGTATCTAACAGCGTCCTTCCCGAAGACGTGGGTACTGTGATCAATTGAGCTATCGCGAAGCATTATAGCTCCAGAATCCCAGTTAACTTCAAAGGAGCATTGAATCGGAGCTATATCCGGCCTTTCTACCAAAATATCAGCATCACCATTTCCGATCGTAGCCAACGCACGAGGATATCTTGAACGTATATGGAATCCTATGCCCACAGCTGAAGAACCGTCGGGCAGTGTTAATACATAGCGAGAATTGGCGGGATGGGCGACCACTGTCCTAGCCTCGAAGCTTAGGGGTTTAAGCAGGAATAGAACAGACTTGCAGCGAGTCTGGGGTAAACGAGTACGAGACATGGTGAAAAACCAGTAAAAGAAAAGAGACCTGGGTCAATGAGGCTAAACGACACAGGAAGGATATTGATTCCCACAACCAGGGCAATTTGAAGCGGAATCTCAAGCGGAATTTCAAGCAGAGTGCCTCTTTGTTTCACTAAAAGAATTCCCATCTTGGATCTGTCACTTCTGCTGAGCTAACTCCCTGCACACTTCGCTGTAAAGATGTAACAGGTGTAAACACTGTGATATGTGTTTAGCATAGCAATCGTATTCACGTTCCAAAACATTGTAACCAGCGACTGAATGGGAGAGAAACATGGCTTCTAAGACTTGGTCAAAAGATTCAAGTTCTCTTCAGAAAACTGCTGGGCTTTGAACATATCCACTAGGCATTAGTATTCTTGACACGGTGACACCTCAGCACTCCACTGGAAAAATGATATTAACTGGCTGGAAACAAAAGTCACAGGCCAATGCTCAAAAGGATAAGTCCTATTAGCCATGCATTCCAGCTCAGAGCTCATTGTGAGCCTAGTACTCTGTAGGGCAAACAATATATTATGTTTGTGCCAGCATTGAGCTTTGCAGTTAAAATTAACTACAGAGTACTCCGTAGGGGAGGAAAATACTCAATGCTTGGCGCTTAATAAGCAGCTTTGCGGAACGAGATATAAAGAACAGTTGACGTGCCAATGTGTCTAGATTTTATATCTCGGTGTTTTTGGATTTCTATTGCTTTGATACTGACTTGAAGATCTGCTTTGGAGGCAAACTACTCAAGAAAGAAGGGCTACAATAGATTTAGCGCTGCATCGCATCCTAGTCCGATTCCCATCAAATATTCCCTTGATGGGGTGTATGGAAGTTGACAGTTTACTGGCCCATCAATGATTACTGAACATCATGGCATGATATACAGAGAATATCCGTGCTCTTTTTTTATTCCCAGCTTCTAAATTCGCCTTGAATAGATTGGGCTTTCCTACTATAGTCTACTTGGCTCGCACCACGAGCCAATGTTCTGTTCTAACAAAGATCCCAAGAGTTCAAAAACAAAATCTTTGAATAGCCAGACGTCAATTCCAGCCTGATCAGGATGCCTATCACCGGGTAGTGCCCAGTCTCCTATTTTAAGAGAAAATCTGCCTTGACTGACAATTTCTAAAGAGTCTTCTTTATCCCGGCGAATCCCAAACTCGTCCACTGCTGCTACTACAGTAGCTACCCAGCTACGAGCAGCCTATAACGCTATTCCCACAGGGCGATGGGGCCTTGAGCATAAATTACTACGGGACACACCCTCCTGCCTACCCCCATCAGCGTATGCCCCGCTTCCGCAATTACAACCTCGATACATGCACTTTCTCTCCCTCAGCCATTTCCAATCCCACGGATTCGTGTATATCTCAAATCGACCCAGCCCCGACCCTTGGGGAAGTCCTGGCCCGCATCACACTCATCCAGGCATCCCCGCTCCATCCGCCCAACAGCAAGTTCCAGCTCCGCAACCCCAGCCTATCAACGAAAAAGACGGCCAACAGCCCTCCCGCTTCCCACCTTCATCACCCTGGACCATGATAACCCCCGACCCAGCATCATTCAATTCATTTTTCGCAATGACCCTCCGCGCCTGCGAACCCCTCTGGTGTCACCGCCACACCACCATCGTCTCCGGCGGCACTGTGTTCGAAGTTGGGGATTTCCGCGTCCGAGTTGGGGACGTCCGACAAGCCCAGCCCGCCCAGCGGGTTCGCGGGTGCATTGTCGAAATCGAGTACCGCGGACCGGGCCAGACCAGCATCTCCGCAGACGGAGACTGGCGCCTTTCCGCTTTTGAATCTGGCACGGAAGAGCCGTTGGCGATGGGTGACGGGTTTTCCGAGCTTTCCAACACGATGGTGGATGGTGAGGAGGATCTTCCCACGGAGGAGGATTGGGATGTAGGCGAGAAGCTGATACGGGAGTTTTGGAGTGGGTTTGCGGTGCCCGGGGCGAGAGAGGCGATCCGGGTGCCTGGTTTAATGACGGAGGTGAATAAGGCTCGGCACAAGGGGATGAAGAGGGTCACGACGGCGGATGCGGGGCCGTCGAATACAGGAATTAAGGGGGCTGATTTGGCAAGGCAGTATATGGAGCTTTTGCGATTCAATCGGTGAAAAGGGGGCATTATTTCGACGCTACGTCATAATGTTTTGAAACTCTCTAGGCCGGAGGAGCTTAGAATCTTCTAACGGGGGGGTGACATTTCACTTTAGAACCGTTTCGTTTGCTGCTAAGCAGCGCATCTTATGGTAGAAGTACTGTTTGGTCTACGATATGAAAACGGATACCCTGCGGTACTTAATGTCCAGTTATATCCACGAAATGCTATTCCTGTAGCCTCAAAACACTATAGCTATATCTGTCAAACTTCTGTTTGCAGGGAAGCAACAAAGGTCCGGCAAAACAACACCTTTTGCATTTGCGACATCCCTTCATATATCACCCAGGCATACCTGCCACCAACGCTTCAACAATCTTAAAAGGGTGTAGTTACTACTGGTGTAACTAATAGGCAAGCAAAAAAAAAAAAAACGGAGGGAAAGGGCGTGGGAAAAATCGACAAGGAATATTAATTTGCCGTGTCGGGTAGGGAACCTCGGGCTTGTGCTGGAAGCTCGCATCAGTGGTCGTTTATTTCTGCATCATGAGTTGAACAAATTCGTTGTCTAGAGAACGTATTAGCTAAAAAGCAGTCCCTGGTCAGCATATGAGGGCGGACGGAGCGCGTACAATCGATTCTGCCATCACCATCCTGATCAGCCTCGCGGATCATCTCATCCACCTCGTCATCCGTCAATTTCTCGCCGATCGAGGTCATGACGTGGCGCAATTCTGCGGCGGAGATAAACCCGTTGTTATCGCGGTCAAACACCTTGAATGCTTCCCGGATCTCCTCTTCGGAATCTGTATCCTTCATTTTCCGTGCCATCATGGTAAGAAATTCTACAAAGAAATGGATGGTCAGAGTTCAGGTTCAAATTCACGGATGCGCATCATGGGTTCAAGTACAGGGGTAGAATCAAGCACAGGCAGCGGTTACCTGGGAAGTCAATGGTTCCATTATTGTCGGCGTCAACCCTCGTTGATCATATCCTGCAATTCGGACTCGGAGGGGTTCTGGCCGAGGGATCGCATTACGGTTCCCAACTCCTTTGTAGTGATCTGGCCTGTTGTAATTCACAATGGTCAGCATCATGATACAGCCTAGAAGTGGGACATCGAGAACAGAAGCAATCCATCAATTTGGATCGTGCGAAACATCTTAGGCAACTAACCATCGCCGTCCTTGTCCTGTTCGCAGTCTGTGGTCAGCAAAGGCCGGTTTCAATTACCCCGCTAAGGGGACTGTGTAAAGGTACGCTGGAATCATGGCTCTGACTTACAAACAGAGAAAAGGCTTCCTTGAACTCAGAAACCTGTTCTTCGGTCAATGAATCGGCCTGCACAGCATTATTGAACAGTTAGCAGTCAGCGTTGCCATTGTGGGATCCCGCGTCACAGTCAGGGGAGCTGCGGGGCTCCATGCGTAATAAGCACAACCGTACCATTTTGTGTGCCGGAGAAAATGCAGGAATCGAAAAGCAAGAGAGGGAAGAGGAGGATAGTAATGCAGAGGCGCAAGTGGCAGGGAACAGGAGTCTTGGGTGGGATCTGGTGCTAGGAGAAGGAAGAGAGATGAAGCGAAGTTATGATCCGTTGATGGGAGGGAGTCGTTATTTAGCCTGCGAGTCGAACCAGTCAAGGCAGTCAACAAATAACTAGCAGCTTTCAAGTGGGCTCTCCTCCCTGCACAAGTGACTTTGGGTTTGTATGACGCCCCCGGCAGTATGCTTGGTACCACTTCCTGACCAAGGCTGACTCTGTGCCTCCATCATATTGTTTCCTTCTTCCTTGCATCAAGTCTGTCAGTTCTCTCTTCGCTCACGCCTTGCTGTTGGTTTGCTCGCCAACGCGGCACAGATCTCTGCGCTTACGCAACGGTAACTAACTACATCATGGGTGTTCAGCTGGGTATGGATTTGTGGGGATCCAGGGTTCGTTTTCAACGCCTCTCAAGGCTGAATTGCTTAACGGTCTACAATGGCAAGTCCCTGAAACATTCACCGTCCAACAATCGGCTGCCTCTCAGTGAAGAATGAGGGCTCTTTCGACCTGTACCGACTCTGAGATGAAGCCAGCTTTTGCTTTCACCCCCAAGCTCAATAAATTGAGAAATCCGCCTCTGTTTCCTTGGGCAATGTTTCGCGTGATCACGCCCAGATCTTCAAGTGCCTATGTTTATGAAAAGCCATAACGGTTTGAGGTGCTTTGATGCTTGTAATGCGTTTTTGCTAGGCTGGAGATAAAGCGTCCGCTCCTCAAGGCTGCATCGACAACTAACTTGAAATGGTTGAATAAAAGGGTTCGAGGCAATACTTACTGAGAAATCCTTGGCTTCGAGTCATCTTATAACTAATCGCACTTACAGTCTTTTGGGTTGAAATGGCAGGTCCTGAAATCCCGTGTCTTAAGAAGAGTCTCCCACAGGTTCATCATTCCTCATGCCGGAAGCTGTTCCATTCAACTATTAGGTTATTGCTTTCAGATTTGCCCCTGTTCGATCGCTGCTGTATCGGTGCAGCTAATATCGGAAGATACAAGATACAGTACTCATATAGATAGCAGTTCAAATCTTTCCAAACGTATAGTTATTGCCCAGGCAGAGCATCAACAGAATGGGCGATAGAAGATTCCCCGAGTAAACATAGCCAACTGGTGCGCGCTTCGCAAAGAACTATTCATTCGTCCTAGTTGCCTTAGAAAAGCTTCAAGTTCTCCTTTCAATTTAAATCTTTCCTTTTCTAAGGGAGAAAATGGGGATCTATTCAAGGGCATGATGATCCCGGCGACCCTACGGAGTACTTTTGATATGGAATGATATAAACTCCAAGGGACATTATAATGGAAAACGAATGATTTTGCAGTCCAATCAAGTCCGACTCTCTAGCCTCGCAAATTTGCTGGATTTCTACTCTTGGGGAGAAGATTGTCGATGGATTGGCGTCGACTATTTTGCTTCCGACACAAGGCCAACCATCGGTGGCTTCGGACAATCACTCCATACACACTTCTGTCCTCAACAGCTAGAACAGGGAATGCCATTAACCTCCACCTCTCAATTACTCTGAAGATATCGACACATCTATCTACAATCAATGAGGTGACCCAATCAATCATGAGAAGAAGCTTGCCGCCGTGATAAGTTGCTACCTATCGAGAACCCTCCGCCCGAATCCTCAGTCCCTGAACCGCAGCGGAACATGTGGCGCGATCGTACAAATCTGTAATTTCTGGCCGAGCTATTTCTTTCTGCCGTCCCTTACTGAATTCTCACAGTTACATCTCCTACCGCCAGTCCTTCTCCCATCATCCCGCCAAGAAGCCCCGATACATAGGAAGCTCATGGAACGACGACAACTCCGAAGAGCGTCGGGGTCTCATCTCCGGCGCCGGCGCCGGATTCGAAGATGACGGCGACGCAGTCATAGAAATGGACCTTTTACCTCCGCGCTGGCTGGACGTGCAAGACGAAGTAACAGAGCTCCTGCGGGACATTGCGCACAAGTCCTCCCAACTAGACAGGTTGCATCAGAAGCATGTACTACCGAGTTTTGGAGACGAGGATGTTCGGCGGGAGGAAGAAGGTGTGATAGAGAGGTTGACACAGGAGATTACGAGGGCTTTTCACTCCTGTCAGCGGAATATTCAAAAGATAGAAACGATGGTGCGCGATGCCCGGCAGGCGGGCACCGTGAGCCGCGGAGAAGAGACGATGGCAAAGAATCTACAGATATCTATGGCCGCGAAGGTGCAAGAAGCGAGTGCTAGCTTTAGAAAGAAGCAAAGCACTTATCTTAAGAGTACATGCCTGCTCCAGTTTCCCATTCTTGAGCCGTCCGACTTTGCTAACGTTTTTGCCTCAGAACTCCGTGGCCTAGATGGGCTGTCCTCCCCGCTCGACCGCTCCCCAACCCCGATCCTCCAACAACAAAACCCCTATATAGATCCCTCCCTCCTCGAATCCGATGCCGACAAGTCCTATTCACAGTCTACTCTCCTCCAAACATCCCAACACCAACAACAGCAGCGCCAACTCGGCCGAAGCAATGACGCGGTGATTCTTCAACGAGAACGGGAAATCAATGACATCGCAAAAGGCATCATCGAACTATCAGATATATTCCGCGACCTACAAACCATGATCATTGACCAAGGCACTATGCTCGATCGCATAGATTACAACGTCGAACGTATGACCGTGGACGTCAAAGCGGCTGATAGAGAGCTTACAGTGGTATGTTCGCCGCCATCCCTAAACAAGCACCAGGAGCCCACCCACTGACCTCAACCCAAGGCAACCGGCTACCAGAAGCGCACTACAAAGCGGAAAATCCTGCTGCTTCTCTTGCTCTTGGTCGTAGGCATGTTCATCCTTCTCCTCGTGAAACCCAAACGACACAATTCCGCCCCACAACCGCCCCCATCTTCAAACCCACCTCCAGCCATCGTACAAGAGATCGAAGTTCGGCCGCCAGATCGCGGACCCCGGCAAGGGCGACGAGGGAGAAGAAAAAAGCCTTCTTTGGGCTTAGAGACAAGGTCTGCTGATGATGCTGTTAACGATTTCTCGCATGATATTTGGCGGGATCCGCTGTCGCGGAAAATGTGATTCCGCTCTAATTGCATACCAGATCCCATTATTATATGGGAAAAACTATAAAGATACCTAATACATAACTACTACAGTAGTTAACTACCTGTGGAATCGTGCAAATATGAAGCTGTTACCCTCCAGTGTGTAAAATCTAACCATACATATAGAGTACTAGAGTACGAATACTAAGCCGAATGTAGGAACCACATTTGATGCTTTTGATATTAACAAGATCTCAAATTCAAGAAAATTACATAGTTTAACTTGTCAACAGCATATTCGACCACGGAAGAAAGCTAGAAATCTAGGAAGGTATGCAAGCTTCTTAGAAATCAACAAATCAACCTATCAAAGGTGTATGGAGGATGGTTACCCCCCCCAAAAGGTTCTAGAAATCCCACTTGTCAAAATGGCAAGTGACTGTGAGTTCATTGAATATGCAAGAGATTTGGTAAAAATGCATTTACAAGGGCAGGTTGCACAGTTTGGCTTCACAGCTGTCGGCCCCTCGCATCTTCTCTCACAGAGTGTTTTGGGCTCTGGTTTCTTGCATCCCAGACTGATGGCGGCAAGAACACGCATTGAATGTTTATTGACCAAGAACCTGGATGTAGCAAAGCCTCTCTGACACTGACACCATTGTCGCATGGCCAGCTAGCCAAAAGAGGCTGCATGGGAGGCAAACGTGTTTGTATATTCGAATCAATACTTTCATAGAGAAAAGTATATAAACGTTCTAAAAGGCGCAATGGCCAAGAGAGGCACAATTAAGATGGGATATCAGATACAAACACAGTTTACATTTCCACCAAATTCTTCACTTTATGAAAAGATATTGCCTACTAATACAGCACGTTGAGTGATTCCAATCCGCAACAATACAGCCCAAAGAAAACGAAGAAGACGAAGTCCGTAAAAGTCATGGACAAAGATTCCGCAATTCATTTTCAATACTTGTCGCTCTCTTGCCTCAGTAATTCTGCCACATCAGCATCCAAGTCTGCCATGGCATCCGCGCCTTCAAAAGTCGCTGCAAAATCATCACCGCTGTGAGTGACCTTGCGCTTTTTGGAGCCGGATCCGCTCGTGAAAGGGTCATGTCCCGTAGAAGAGTTGCTAGTGACGACCGGTAGGTCCATGACAGGTAACTGTCTCGGATCTCGAGTTGGGACTTGGACTGGGAGAGCTTCAGTAGATTCGTACTGTTCCTGTTGTGTTTCAGCAACAGGGTTCAACAGCGGAGAGCCAACAGGCGTGAGCGCCTCCACCGGTGGTGGTGTCAGCTCTTCAACTGCAGGGGCTTCCGGTTCATTTGCTCCAGTGCCGTGACCTGGACCCATCCATGTGCCATCACCATTACCTTGGGGAGTCTCTGCTGCGAGGCCGCGCATGATTGCATCTTCCACTTCACGCTTTTTATTTTCTGTCTCAGTTTTCCGCGCAGATATTTTCTCAAATTGAGCCTTTTCAGTTGTCAACGCCGCGCGATTTGTGTCAAGAAGCTTCTCAAGGCCTTCAATCAAATTTTGCCGTGATTTGATTATTTCTGACACCGAGCTCTCAGCACTAGCCAACGATTTTAGAAGTTGGCTCAACCGAGCGGCATGCACCGGCGGCGTCGGGACTGTGGCAGTAGGGTCATTCATTTTGTCGTATTCCGCATTGGCGGTAGTGACCGCGGTATTCGACGACACCGCACTCTTGGAAACTGCAACCTGCAGTGGCGCTAGCGGCTGTAATTCGGTCGGGACGGACCCCGATGAGCTGGAGAATAGCGAGCCGCCTAGCAGTTGCTTCTTTCCGGAATTCCTTGACTTATCCACGTCTGTTTTATCAAGTCAGTCAAACCCTAAGTGTTGATAGGTCGTCTATCAAACCTTCGACTCGTGCTTCGATGGCATCTTGTATTGGCGTCTCAAATATTCTCCTTTGTCTCCAGACTTCAACCACACGTCGCAACTTTTGCTGAATTTCGCTTGGAGCGCCTCGGAAAGCAGTAGCTGTCGCATCAGCAATTATCTGATAATTCAATTAGTGCCCACGACGCACGTCTAAAGTGATTTTTCCATGAAGTTACCGGAGAGAACGCGATTAGGAAATCCTCTTTGCGTCGCGCTTTCGACTGTTGTGCAACCTCTGGGAAGCCGAGCCTTAGTCTGGTCGTCCTTTTGTTAAATTCGACGGGGAGTCAAACCGTTCGCAAGATATATCAAATTAAGTCTCTTGGGCGCATTTGCCTCACGTAATCTCTCAAGCCAAAGCTGTGCTGTGCGGTCGGCATGTCGCCTGTCGAGAGCAATGTTGTCAGCTAGGAAAATAGCTCCGAGTTTACAAACAAACAGGAAGAAAATACCTATGGAACATGACCCATTGGGCAACCGTGACGATCGATTCTTGTGTCTCATTCAATGCTGAGAGCTTTGCCTTGACGGCATCGTCCGTATACGCCATTGTCCTTGAACCTCGGGGAGCTTACAGCTGAATATAGAGTCGACCGTGTAGGGGCCGCAAACAAAGGGCTCGTATGTGGCTGGATGAAAGGGACCAGATGAACCGTTGATGTGGAAAAATAGACAGCCAGTTAATCACAGATTCTTTAGAGGAAATAGAACGCAAGAAGTGACTGGAGATAGCTCTTTGCAACAGGTGAATGGGTGTCCAGATGAATTCGCTCTCAGTTCCGCAGCAGCAGGGGGGAAATTGCAGGCGATCACCGCTTTCGGGGACGGGCGGCAGAAACCCAATCCGTTTAGAGCGGCGATTGTCTGGGCTGCCAGCATCAGCAACAGCTCACTGTGAGCGACCTCTTGCTTGTTCATGATTGATGAAACATTCTCAAAGACTTCTTTGTTGATCCATTAACCCTTGCTTTACTCAATAACTCAGAGTCCACAGTCTACTGGCATAAAAGTCCTCAGAGGAGCCATTGTATCCCCTATTCAGGCCACGCTTTATCCTTCCCTCACATCCCGTCTCCTTTCTCTTTAGCGCTACGTTATGGCCGACCGATTTCCTTCATTAGATGAGCTAGGGGGTATGGGGAATACCTATTATGCGCTTGTTTTGATCTGGAATGCCTTGTCACTGACTCACTCACTAGATCAGCCTCTACCAACCACCAGCGATGGGCCGCCTCCGACCGGTGATGGGGACGATTTCTTAGCCCGGGAACGTGCTGCTCTGGGAGACGATGCAGACCAGTTTGTTTCAGCCAATGATCACATTAAATCGCCTACGGTCGAAGATGACGGGGATGATCTTCTCGGCGACGGGGAATTCCAACAGGGCGATGCAGATACCGCAGGTTTTGAGTCCTCATTTCCGGCGTTGGAATCACAAAATGAGGTATCGGATATTCTTTGTTTTTCGACTTGTTGGCACTTTAATAACCACTCCCGTCCAACAGCAAGTCGCTCCCGGCGGCACCATTACGGGCACAGACACTTTCCAGCAGTCTTACTCCACATACCAAGAACCCGAAGAAGAGGCAGAAGCTGTCCGGTGAGCAACCCTATTTATATTAAAACCGCTATCCGATCCTTTCGTTCCCTCAACCAGAACCAACACCCGCTGACGGCCCGCTCCCTAACCTAGTGAATGGCGTACAAAGCGCGACGAAGAAATCGCACGCCGTGCGGCCGTCTCTTCCGAACGCAAGGCCGCAACGATCAAGAAAGCCCAAGAAGACATCGACGACTACTACGAATCCTACAACAAACGCACAGACAAGGCAAAGGAGCGCACCCGCACCGAAGCAGAGGACTTCCTGGGCAAACCGGGAAGACACAGCGGGCTGGCGGGCACTAGCTGGAACGTATTGCCAAATTAGTTGATATTAGCGGTAAGGGTCTGAAAGGGGGTGCGAGCGGATCCGGAAAGGAGCGGTTTCGAGAGCTGTTGCTGAACCTGAAAAAAGATCAGAATGCTCCGGGGGCTAGTGGGATCTGAAGTTGTCATGTTATCCATTCCTAAATTCCGCTATTTCATCCGTTGTCATCGCAGAAGAAGCCCTGGAGCACTGCGGTCTATGGTATGTAACTAGAGGAATCCCATTCTAATGGAGGGTATCAGTTGGCCCATCTCGAGCCGAATCGCTGTGGTATAGTTACCTTGTCTGCCGCATTTTCCCAGGTTCAAACCCATAGACAATTTTCGTGCACCGATGTGTGTAACAAATCAACCTAATTGCAATTATTTGAAAAGATTCCTAACATACGGGGTAATTAACTACAAATAATGTTCAATGCATTATTTCAATAAAAATCTCACCCTAGCATTGTCTGCACTAAAACATAAGTAATAGTAAATATCACATTGCTTTACATAGTGGTTGGTGTAGTTATGCTTTTGATATGCACCCAATTTGTTATTCGCATTTATCTTCCAACCAACGCCTCTGCTTCCTTACTATTAGACCTCAACTATCACTCCGGTTTCAAGCATCATTATTCACTATGGAACGATCTTACTTTGGCATTCTGGAGAAGAACGATTGCGTTGGCACTGGAAGTTTCTCCATTGTTTACAGGGTCAGTCCAACGATAGTGGTGAAAACTGTTCGACGTCGACACTCCGAATCTGAAGAACACCCCTTCCTTCAGGAGATCAAGTTCTATGCAAGCCTTAAAAAGTGTCAGAATCGATGCCCAGACATTGTTGAATGTTTTCTCGCTCTCTCAGACAGTATTTTCCTGTCATATTGTGAGCTCAACAGCATTACTTTCTGCTTTCTAGAACGTCAGATTCGCGAGGAAACTCCAGACAGTGAGCCTGGGCGGGTTGTCTTGGTGAAAGAATATGAGGATGACGGCCTTGTCGCTCGATGGTTATGACAGATCACCTCCGCCCTTGAATTCATTGAGAGAATGGGCTTTTCCCATAATGATGTGCATGCACGCAATTGTCTTCTTGACAAGAATTTGAACCTGAAGCTGTCAGACTTTGACTGGACTACCACAATCGGGCAGCTTCTTGAGAGTTCTCGTGCTCCATGGGCCAAAAAGTTACAAGATGGACCCTTGGAGGGTTTTTATGGCCTTTGTGGCGCCAGGACTGAACAGTTTGCAGTTGGGACGCTTTTGTACTTCATGGTGCATGGCTATGAACCCTATGAAAACATCAATATCGACTCGGAAGAGTTGGAACGGCGATTCCAGGCACGCAGGTTTCCCGAACTCGACCGACACAAAATCTTCGACCGGCTCATCTCGGCTTGCTGGTACAACGTCTATCCGACAATTGCACTGCTAGCATATGATTGCAAGCGCAGTACAGAGTGCATTGCACGGGCTGTAGAATACAGGCCTATTGACTCCGCAAGAGAGAGGAAGCATTGCGAGTTGCTGATTCAACGGGGTCTACTTGGTGATAGCCTAGCCCTTCGCTATCAACCAGCCTGGCGGAGATACTTCCATATTCTTGCGGGAAAAAGTATGTTCGTTTGGCGCAGTTTAGTCAAGTTTTTGAGAAGATAATGTTGGGATCGATCCTGCTCGGTAGAGATTCTCGTCGATCATGCAGGCCTACGAAAACGCTCCAATATTCCCCAATATGGTGTACTTGACAGAGTGTCTATTGATATAAACCCCCCCTGGATAACCACTAGCTATCGATTTCACCTCTCATCATACCCTCGCCCGCTATACTTTTATTATACTGGTGACAACTGATGCTCCGACCCGTCAGCGCTATGATTCATTGTGGGTATATCCGTTACCATGGCTCGTGTTGATTCCTGACCTCAGGAACAACAGCAAGAGTTTGAGCATTTTATGCTTTTATCCCTTTTCCACTTAGCAAGAAAATGCCCAGAGTTATTGAAGAGTTATAGGGTCAGCGGGTCAACGGGCAGAAGGTCACCGGGCAGTTGTACTAGGACATACTGGTAATACCCAGGAGGATACTAATTGGGTTTGGGGGTTAATTGGGAACCCCTAGGGAAGCCCAAGGCCTGAGCTCACCGGATTATTGACACAAGGTCACCGGGTTATTATCTGGTATCACCGGGCAGGTCTACCATTTATTACTAGTAATTCCTACAGGCTACTGCCATGGTTCTAATATGGAATTTTACAAGAAACCCAGTGAGCTTTGGTTATGGTATGTAATGCCTCATGGACTATGGAACTTCTCATCTCAATTTATTAGTAGTTACTAGCTGCTTCTAATAGCTCTCACAGAGCTGATTCAATTACAGTCATGCTTCATGTTCAACTAAATAATTATGTTGTTGATTCTACACTCATAATAAAACTTGTGTACATGTGCTGCTGTTTCTCAATGATCACTAGTTACTATAAGATTCTAAATTTATGGAAGTTTCTGGTAGTCTCTGATAGCCATCAGTAACATATGACACTACTGAGACTAAGTCATTGGATCTTTTATAGAATTCCACATCAGGACTGTAAAAGCTCGCCGGGTTTCTTGTAAAATTCCATATTAGAACCATGGCAGTAGCCTGTAGGAATTACTAGTAATAAATGGTAGACCTGCCCGGTGATACCAGATAATAACCTGGTGACCTTGTGTCAATAACCCGGCGAGCTCAGGCCTTGGGCTTCCCTAGGGGTTCCCAATTAACCCCCAGTAACCCCCCAGCTATTACTAGTATGTTCCAGTACAATTGCCCGCTGACCTTCTGCCCGTCGACCCGCTGACCCGCCCACCGGTTATTGAACATGTAGTCTACCTCCTCTCTGCAGCGGACGTTGAGCAGTGGGCCTTGGTAATGGCAGTGGTAGATGATCTGAATAGCTACCTTTTGATGGATTTCCCGCCAAAATTTGAATGTGTCGAACTACATTGCAAAACTATGCGGAACATCATATTTCATGTGATACCTTTCTCGAGGATGAATAGAGTGATAGCGGGACGCTTACTTGTTTATTAATCCCTTTCCCCCGATTCTCCTCTCATTGTCCATATACCTCTGCACTGCATTCTGGGGGAAGTCATAATACGATTGCGTTCACCCTGACGGCAGAGAAGATTGGACGGCTCGGTTTTCCGAGGTAGATGAGTTTCGAGAGCCTAGCTCAAGATAGCAGATGAGACACAAGCATTCGGGCTTTTTATAGCCAACAAGTTCAACTCTCTCAAACGTCCTCATCCTATAACCAATTGACATCAAGTCGTTATGATTCCGAGTGTTCGTTAGGAACTCTCAGAGAAATCCTTCCTCCCCGTGCCTACAATAAATAACCTTGGAGGAAATAACAATGCGATAGTAAGGCCTTCGAAACTTCTTGCCAGAGATCCCGCTTGTTTTGATATTCCTGCCCTGGCGTTCTGGTCCTAGACATTGTCGCCTATGCTTGGGATTTTACGGCCATCCTCGATTTTGATTCCACCACCCCTGAGGATGATTCATCTCAAAGTAAGTCTCCCGTGGGGACGGAGAGCGTTTTCTCTTCCTTTCTTCCTTGGCCTTTTCAAAATCGTGACGGATTCCTGCAAATTCAAAGACCTCAGGTGCGTCTGTAGGTGTCTCCCCGCGCTTGAAAGCTACTTCACAAGGGACTTTTAGCTTTATATAGTCGTGGCTGAGGAATTGAAACACGAGGTTATGTTTTCGGCAGTTGCTTGTTAATTGAAACTCTTCTAGCCCAGTGTGTTTGGGAGGGGAAAATGGCCCAAAATAACAGTCAGTGGCCGGATTGATAGAAATATATCCTTCCATTTGTCGGCCATGTCGTGATGGCGCTCCATCCTTGTCCAGGTGATAGAATTCGACATATTTTGACGGAAACCTGTCTGAACCGGGGCAATAGTCGACGTGGTTGCTCGAATGTAGGTAGAACCGGCCAACAATGGACCCCAGAGGTGTTTTGCTTTGCTTCTCTGCATTTTGGAGAGAATCATACATCTCTTGGACTTCTTTTTCCTTGCCTTGATCAAAAGCTCGCTCGCTGTCCTTTGATTGTTGGTCGTACTCTCTGATTGCCTTCAACTCCCGTTTCCGTGCTTTACGCTCCGCTTTGAGTTCATAGTAGTAATCGGCATCCTCCCCATTATAGGATCTACTCGACACGGTATCATCCTGATAAATCTCGCCATCCTCCTCGTCCTAGATTGAAGAGTTTGCGGTCAGTTTCTAATGGTGTTCACGGCCGGATGCTCTATGAATTTTCTTACATCACTTTCAGAATCGATAGAGAACCTGGAGAGACCGGAGACACTAGAGTGACTAGGGGCGCTAGAGAGGCTGGAGAGATCTTCATCAAAGTCCTGAGCACTCACATCTCGAGCCTCCCTGATGGTGAGAGCAACTAGACGATAGTACCACGCCGGGAGTCGCCGCCTCGGATTCACCATGTCAAAGGTACTCTATTGTTGTGTGAAGTTCCCCCAGCTCATCCATCAATCATTGTAGTAACTAGTTGTATCCTAATCTGGCCTAATGAGCCTACCAGCCACTTTGTTATTTGTTAAGTTATTAATATATCCCATCATCGCTTGGCTTTGTGGGCAGCTCAGCTATGTAACTAACTCACTCCAAACAAAGCATGTCCAGATGCTGCTTTAACTAACTATGAGAGAGTAAAATGCAGAACAGTGAGTAGGACTCTCTAATTACATGCAAAAGGCACTGAACAGTAGCAATCTCTTTGAGGTTGTTAGCCTCCTGTCTATTTTTGGCCCTGGAGAACTCTTTTGCAGCATATTTTGCTCCACTGTGCTATTCCACAGTCCTTCGAACTAGTTATTCCAAATTCACCTCGGCCAACCTCCTCAAGAAATACTTGGCAATGTGCAATTGGATGTGACTTCACATTTGAACAAAGCTCAACTTGCAACTCACATGCGGGTCACTAAATAGTTGTGTCTGAAGCATGTACTTCCAAGGCGCACCCTACAACCAGTCGTTGGCGCGGCATTGGGCTGTTGCGATCATCCGGTGAGGGCCCATTGATCAGGGTACCAGAGCGTCCGTCTTCTTATTTCAAGATTATATAGCCGCGATTGAACTATCCGCAACCTGCTATTCTCTCTCCTATTATGATATACAATGTCCAGGGATATGGGGAAAAAAAAGGGCAATGCTCCTTTGAACGCCAGAAAACCAGAAAACCAGGAGACAAAGGAATACAATTTCCTTATCCCTGTGGTCTGATAGCAAAATGATGAAAAAGTATAGTAACACTCGGTGGACTATGTAAATGTAGATTGAGAGACAAATACAAAAGAGAAAAGTAAATGATTGCCAATGTTGTAGGTATTCTGCGTCAAGAGCGCGGTAAGAACGGACGTCCACTTAGGGCCGCTGTACACTTTGAAATCAAAAGTCCCAGTGCTTGCCGATTCTAGGGGAGGCACGCAGAGAGCCTTTCCGTATAGCCTAGAAGCTTTAGGCGTCAACTCGTCGAAGCGCTCTAGTTGCTCACCTTCTTGAACGAGCGGAGTCACGACGGCTCACCTGTATGGACATTGAGTTGTGTCCTCGCAATTCGCAACCAGAAAACGTGGTCATGTTCATGTTACGTGCGTCAATGGAGCTAGGGGAGTCACCGAGACCGATTTTTCCTGCGGCTTAAGCTCCTCCACGAACATCCTGTCCTTCATCCCGTCCACTATCCGAGCGCACAACGGGTCAACATATATGGTCCATAGGTACGCGATAAGGTACAGAATGGCGTAAAACGCCGGGATGACAAAAAGAAATCCCATTGGGCTAATTCGTTTGAGAGTGATGGGTTTGCCTTGCTCATCTTTTTCCGGAGTTTTGGACGCACTAGGACCATAGACCATGAGGACTAAGATGGTGCGGATGACCGTGTTGTGTAGCAGGTAGACGGGGAAGGACACTCGACCCAAGAAGTTCAGAAGTGGTGAGGTGAAGAATTTGCGAGCGTTTTTCGAGAAGAATATGCCCAGCATCAGAACCGTTATGCCGATGGAAACGCAATATCGGCTGGTGTCGGTGTAGGCTGGGGTGACGGCGACAAAGGAGTCTCGCAGAATCTTTGACCAGGGCGCCCAATGGGGATTGTCTTGCGGATAGCCCCAGAGGAACAGCCCGAGAATGATGAGCATGCTGGGAACGAACTTGGGAACGAGAGAGGTGGCACGGGCGCCGTAATCGACTTGCAGTTGGGCAAGCATGATGCCGGCGTAGAGGTTGATGCCAACGAGGTCTTTATCGAATGACATGGTTAGCACCAAGTGGTATATTGCAGACATCAAAACTTACAATCACCCGTAACCCAAGCATAAGCGTATAAGAAGGCAGTGATAATCCTCCAAAATCGCGGTGTCAGCAAAGTCATCGCCAGCAGCGCCAAGTAGACACGGAACGAGCCCTGCAAGAAATACACCAGGGTCCAATTCGTCCCATCATACTCTCCGCCACCGGAATGCCAGAAAAGAGTCAGGGACCTCAACAGTTTCATCAGCGACACTCCAAACGGATCGATATCATGCCCGCCGACAGAGATCCAGCCAGCATCCGTGCGTTTGGCGAGCTTGAAAGCTCCAATCTGGCATAAAAACCACCCGATGATCGTGGCAATGCTCGTCGGAAGCACCAATCTCCCTGATCTCGTAAAGGCGCTTCGAGCCAGATTCGTCAGGGCAACCTGCGTGTTATTATTCCTCGCGTTCTTGACGGGGTTGATCGAGTTCACGAAGCCGGTGATGATGAAGAAAACCGCGACGGCTCCTCGGCCGCCGACACATAGTCTGAAAAAGGGCAGTTGGAATAGGATCATGGGCCCGTTTTCCGAGATTGCCGGCGAGTGCAAGTATGGAACAAAGGCGGTGCAGAGATGGCCCGTGACGACCGTGAAGGAGGCAACGCCCCGCAAGCCCTATATGCACGAACGGTTAGGCCTGCAGCTGGCATCAAAGAAGGACGGACATGGCTCTCACATCGATCCAGTTATCATCACGTTTCTTTGGCGGCATGTTGGGAGGCGTGTCCGTCTCCCTCCCCCTTTAACTGATTTCCGGTAATTCAACGCTTCGTCTGTCCGCAGGTCATTAGCTGAATTGGCGGCTCAAACGGCCACTCCAATGTTGATGGATGTCGTCTTCAAGAGAGATGATAAAAACGAAGAAAGAGACTCGTAGTGTTCAAAAGGAGTGGATAACTCAGTGGGGGGTCTTCTTCCCGCGAAGCCGGCAAACGAGGGAATGGTGCGAACCACGGCACCTAAACGACAGACGGGCTCGAACGGGGAACGCGGAGAGGTCTTCCAAAAAGTCCACCAGAAGCGAGAGAAAGCAACACAATCCAGAGATGGCCACCAGACGCCGGAGAGCAAAAAGTGCAGCACGAGGGAGGCCTGGGGTGAGATTGCGTGTACGGGGGCCAATTCCCCGTAGTGCCTGGGGCGTCTTGGCTTCAGGGATTGCAAGGCTGATCCTCCAACGCCCTCAAACTGATCTTCTCGAGTCATCGCGGCCTTGCTTGCGAGGAGCATTGCCAGACAGTCTCAGAAATGCAGTGGACGAAAGCCCGCAGTTCGCTCCCACGATGTTCTTAGTCCCCATGCTCCCTTCTTGCGCCTCAGCTCACCGGCCAGAGAAGCAACAGGCAGGATTTCGGGATCGAACCTTGTCGCCTGCTTGGCAGGAACCTGGCTCAACTGGCAGCTAAACCCTGGGATTTCGATGGACCGTTGGTTGTCGCTCGTGCTCCCTCCCGGGTTTCGTCTCACCCTCAGCTGCGTGCCAACGTGGTGGTTACAGAACGACTGTGATACAGAATCGGTTGTGTTACCACACTGGAGTCCCGTTGGGAGGGACTGCCAACCTCAGTCTTGTTTACATCGAGGAGTATGTTCATAGTTTGTATCATTCTTTTTGAGTACTATATAGGCGGGACGGCGAGAAGAGACACAGGATTAAAGAGCTAGAAGTAAAAAAAGGAACGAGGGTACGGAGTAGATTAGACGGAAATAAGTAGTCCAAAATGGGTAGAAAACCAGCAAATATCATCGAGTCTATCCAAACCTTCCAGCCAAAAAGAAAGATTGTAAGAAAATATCGTAGACATATTTCACTGTACCATTTTATCCAAAGTATATTCCCAACAATGCGGGATTCACATCCCGCAAGCGTCGCCTGGACGCGCTTTGGTATAGCATGCGGAGTATTCAACATAGATCTAACTCCGGGGGTGCAATTAACGGCTTCACCCCTTTGAGCATTTCGTGTCTATCCACGACGTGAATCGCGCAGAAGGTTCTTCGACGTGACGCTGGAAGACGTCCGCCAGCCAGAACGACAGCAGAACAGTCAAAGTGCCGCCAATGCCAAAAGAGAGTCCGTACTGGAAGTCGGTTTGGTAGCCGAAAATGGTATACAACCACGGCATGATTGGGTAAAGTAGAAATTTCAGCGCAATCGTGTGCGTCAGGTACAGCGAGAACGAGATGTTGCCCAGGTACAGGAAGATGCGGCGTGTGAAGAATCTCTGGATGGAAGGCAAGCCGGTGATCGACCAGATGAGAATGACCGTGCCGACGGCATCCCAGAAGCGGAAGATTCCCTTGTAGTTTTTCGGCGCCCATGTCTCGAGAATGGTAAAGGTCCACGACTTCCAGATATCTGCAGCTGGCACGCTCAGAATCCACAGACCAAGAATGACACCAGCCACTAGCAGCCACTTGGGGGACTTTTGGCGTGAAGCCACGGGCTTTGATTCCCCCGTTTCTGATTTGGGCAATTGGCTCTCCGCAGCCTCTTCCCTGATTATATCCACCTCGGCGATGATAGCTCCTGCAACGAACAGGAAGACGTCCCACTTATCGAGAGCGAGGAAATAAAGGGCGAAGAGGCTGTTGATGGTGAGGCGGGTCTTGCTTTGGCATCGAGACAATCCGATAAGCAAGAGGAAAAGGATCATCGAACACCGGTACTCGACGGCGATTGTCCACAGCTGGTAAGCATACGGGGAGTTTTGGGAAAAGTTCTCCCAGTCAAAGGGCCAGAAGAGCGGCGGGATTGTTTTGCACCAAAGCCAGAATTGTCTAAAAAAGGTGGCCTCTCGCGGGGCCATATTGAATTCATGATGCGGCATCTCGTCATTGAACTTCACGACGCCGGGGAACAGCCCAAAACTAACCATGAACATCGGGAAAAAGGTAGCGATAATCGAAGGTATATACAATCGGAATATGCGGCGGAAGATCTTCGAGCTGAGGTCCTGGTGCAACGGGCCCCAGGCCTGATTCCGGGACTTTTTGATCGGGCCTATCGAGAGAACGTAGCCTGAAATGAGGAAAAAGATCGTGGGCTGCCCGGTGTATAGCAGTCGGACGAAGGGCATCTGGAAGATGGAATCTCGACCGGGAGTTCCATTGTAGGCGTACGACGAATTGGGGAAGAATCCCAGGACCATGTGCAGCACGACAACCCCGAGGGCTGCCAACCCGCGGATACCGTCGAGATATGCCGTCCTCGCAAGCGGTCGAGTTTCTTCGGCGCATCGCGAAAGGCCGTCGGTAGGACCGCGTAGATGAACGCGGCCACTTTCTGACGACTCAGGATGGACCCATGGCCGTGATCCGAAGCGAGTGACGGAGGGGACAGAAGTCCGCCAGACATAATGGGCCTGCTGCTCAGCAATAAAATGTCCTTTTCGACCAAAAAAAAAAAAAAAAAAACGAATGAACAAACGAACGGATGATTGCAAGAATGATAAGAGGGAGGAAAAGACCAAGGAATACTAATCCGAACGCTTCGTCATGCTTGCAAGTTTTTTGTTTCAGGAGTTGACAATCAGCCCTTTTGTTCCGGTCGGATCTTCACAGCGCGACAAATTTTGGGCGGAGCACCAGTCTCGTTTGGCCCAGCGAATCGAGCCAGCTTTCGAGCATGGGGGCCACTTTTCTCCCTTGAAGTGGCTCGCCCCCTGATTTCTGTTGGCTCTGAAGGCGCATTTGCTCTGGGGTTTGGCGCAGCGGGAACGGCATGCAGCCAATGTTCATCCCAAGAATTGGCCTTTGACCCATGCATCTGGCTTGGCAAAACCGTATGCCATTATTATCCAAAGAGAAGGTCAAAGGTCAATTGATTATTGAGTTGATGTCCGACGATGCAAAGGCGAGTTCATGTCCTCAGCCTTGAAGCCCACACGTGGGAGCGACCGCTCTGCCGTGTCACGTCGCACACAAGACATCATGGTCCTCCCTCAAGAGAAGCTTCTTCTGAAACCCGGCCATCAAAGCTCGCGAGAACCACGGACTGCCTCGCTTAATAAAAATCGCAAGCTCGGAGGCTGCGGCCCTGGAAATTCAATCTCTCACTATAATTAGCAGCACCAGAGACACCACACCACCTCTCAGGCCTGGTTTCAATTGTGGTTGAGGGTTTGGCCAGAAGAACTCTCTGTGCATGATTAGGTAAGCCACCAGCTGCACCCGGTCCGCGACATTCGACGAGCAGCTTGTGCGCCTCGCCGCTGATTTCGTTGAGCCTCGACTGTTGAAAATCGGCTTGTTTTGCGACGGGAGAGCTTCCCAAAACGCGAACCATGGCCCAAGTCGCTCGATCCCGGCGGCGGAACCTCGTCCTCCTCGTCGCCGGCGTGCTCCTGTTCCTCATCTTCCACCGTACCTATGCCCCAGGGAGCCTGCGTCAGACCGGCGGACCGTCGACCGCTGACCATGGGAGATTCTGGGTGAAGTTCCATGACATCCTCAAGGTCACGGCCCCTGACTGCAACTCCCCCAAAAGACTGGAGGACCACCCGACAGCCATTGGGTTCAAACCTGATGAGGCGGACAGCGTGACGTTGCCCGAGCATATCGTGGTCGAAGAGGAGGATAAGGAAAAGCTGAAGAAAGCGCACTCTCACTTTATGAGCTTGCTATCCGCCCCGAACGCCCCGAGACTCGCGTACAAGCCACGGACGAGAGGTATAGTGTCAACCGCGGGCGGCTCATTTCTGCCCGTCGTTGTGACGTCGCTGCATATGCTACGACAAACCGGGTCCGACTTGCCCGTTGAGATCTTTATCGCGGATCCCAGTGAACACGATGAGTACATTTGCAACTCGCTCTTCCCCAGCCTCAATGCACGATGCATTACCCTGTCCGAAATCTTAGACCATTCACCCTTGGCGGCAGGCCTCAAGAAATATCAGTTTAAAATCTTTTCGCTCCTATTTTCTTCATTCGAGGAGGTTATGTTCCTCGATGCCGACGCATTCCCAATGCACGATCCCGGCCGTCTCTTTGCCGCTGAGCCGTTTAGCTCCCATGGCTTGGTAACTTGGCCGGATTTCTGGCAGGTGACCTATCACAAATCCTTCTTCGAAAATCACGTCGCAGCCCACTCCCCAAAGGTTTCTCGCACGCCTCTACCGAGTCTGGTCAGGTACTAGTCTCGAAGAAATCGCACGCAAAAATGCTCCTTCTCTCCGCTTACTACAATTTCTACGGCCCGTCGCACTACTACCCTTTGCTATCCCAAGGGCACCCCGGCGAGGGCGACAAGGAGACATTCTTGGCTCCTGCACGGATTTTAAATCTGCCGTTTTACGCTGTTTCCACGGGTCCTGGCGTGTTTGGTTACAAGAAGCCCGACGGTGGCTGGGAAGGCGGCGTTATCATGCAAGCTGATCCCATATGGGACTCGAAGCTCCAAAAGGACCAGAGCTTCGGGTGGGGAGGCAAGCCTAACGCGCCTCCTAACTCCTTCATAACTTGTCACGCCAACTTGCCCAAACTGGAGCCGGTTCGGGTGTTTGGCGATAAAGGACTTGCATGGACGGAGGACAACAAACCAAAGCGCATGTGGGGTCCTGCCGAGGAAATGATCGGTCGAGTGGGACATGATATTGAAAAGGACCTCTGGAAAGCATTAGCCTCTACCGCATGCGTTCTAGAAGGGAAGTACAAACCGTGGGATGGGAAGCCGAAGCTGTGTGAGAAGATAATGAACTTTATTAGCGACATGAACGGGAAATGAAAGCCTCAGGACCCAAGTGGCCGTTATGCTACTTGCAAGATAATCCGTGGATATAACTCTCTCGAATCCATCAACTGGAGCTGGCCTCTTGATATTCGTCTCCGGGAATCGAACCCTGTACGACACCACTGCGTACCCCTGTCTTCCCCTTTTCAGCATTTTGTATAACTACATAGTTGATTTTCCCGGCCTCACAAAACTTCAACATATTATGTTTTGCACTTTTGGGTTTATTCGGTTGTATTCATTCCCTTCTCATGCCAGTGATACCATGTCTTTTTGGACAGATTTGTTCATAGAGATTTTATTAATCCCCCTTTTACCCCCTATCTTTTATCATATACCCCGAATTGATCTAATATCATTTCCTTTTTGCTCAATCTGGACTATCGGTGACCATGTCCAAACATGAATAAAATATTTTTCGGGTGGGCATATAACAAAAAGTTGATGCGGCAGTTGCTTCCTCCCCCTTTCTTCCTAACCTTGATACAACTGTCGAATCTACAATCAAAATAGCAATGGGGCTATTCTTGGTGGGACGTTGTGAACAAGCCAAGTGAGAATGTTCAGAGTGGAAGACTACACCATCATACATACAGATACCACAGACGTCGGCCAGTCTAGGATTCGCAGAAAAAAAGCATCAACATACCGATCTGTCAATCTCACTCCGGATCCCCAACGACTTCTTGATTTTCGACTTCTCTCTTACTCTCCTCCTCGATTTCTTCTAGCCGTTTCTTCCCTTCCTCAGTGGTCGCATCGAGGATGCCTTCCTGGAGGCTCAGAATACCGCTCTCGCCCAGCTTTTCAACCACTTCCTCGGCCTCGTCGACACTCATTTTGCCAAGAACTTTATTCACTTCGTCGAGACTCTCGGATTGCAGTGCACGCTGGAGGCCCGGTGGGAAGCGCTCAAACGTCTCCCGAGCTGCAATGTGCTGTGGATCGGTACTGTCTGCTGGCGGGATGCTAATGTTGATTTTGGTGGATGGGTCGACAGCATGGAGTTGAATTTGCTCAACCCCGGCAGGTTGCTTATGCAGTTCTGGGGGCGCGCACTTTGATCTTGTTGTAGGTGTCGTTGACATCGTCGCAGGAAGAGAACGTTTGCGCGGTGATCTTTAGTGGTAATGCTGCATAGTAGAGTCAGTAATGAGGGGTTAACTCGGAGCTATAAATGATGCGTACCGTTTGAAGAAAAGAGAGACTCCATCCGGACCCAACGAGCGACAGTATTGTAGAAGCAAGCCCTGGTGAACGCATTGACGAGCATAATCTTCATCACCAGCAATTTGAGCATTGAAGGCTTCCATGAGAAGTTCATCTGTCTTTCGTTCGGCCACGATGTCCGGATGTTCAGTGATGAACTGCAGAGTACCGGTGTAATCGCCATACTTGAGCCTTGCGAACTTTTTGGCTAGAGGAGAAACGCTGGTATCACCTTCATCTCCAGGCTCGGGCTCTTCATCCGCTTCGGCGCCAGACGACACAGCTCCGACTTCGTTCTTGTTTAGCCCCGAGTTGAGCAGCTCAACCTGTGGCTCTGTCTTTTTGGGCTTGGATTCGGCCCTGGGTTTTGAGATATAGGAGCTGTCAAACCCCGTGTGAATGCTGTCGCTCGTGATTTTGCTGCTCTCCTCCTTCTCAAGCTGGGCGAGCTTCACGAGTAACTCTTGCTGCAGATTAAGAACTTTGGCCCTGTGGCCCTCTACCCCTGCGATGAACGCCTGGAACCGGTTCTCGGGCTTTGCTTGATCCAGCTCATTTTTGACTTGGTCAACCAATGATCCCATCATCTGCGAATATTTCGGGGTTTCCTTCTCCTGGGTATGCACACCCTCCGGGGGAGCAGGAGGTTGGTCCTTCTCTGGGTCTCCGGCGGACTCGATCAGGGCCTGGAAGACCAGCTCATCTGGGTGTCGGGAGCTATCTTCATGCTTTCTCAGCGCGCTCAAAAGGCTATCAATCCGCTGTAAAAGACCGTCGTTTATGATTCTCTCATACTTCAAGGTCGCGATCTCATTCCGGCGCTGGAGCCTTTGCTGGTGAATTTGGTGCTGCTTCGCGCGGATAAAGGATCGTTTGTCCACATTTGGGTGGACTTCGATATCCGAATCGTCAGAGAGCTCGAGAGCGTCCCATTTGCTATAGTCTAGGACCATTTTCGGGAGTTCTTCGTGTGAGTTGCAAGTGTTGTTAGCGGCGGCTAGGCTCGCGGGACGCGGGGAAATACAAGCTGAAGCACCAACGTTTGTAGGCCAGAGGATGGAACCGGCACAGTATCAAAGTAGAGAGAATGTCAAACTAATTCGCTCAAAGAATTGCTGCCGTATGGCGACTGGGAGTTGGTGGCGGGAAACTCGAGGACAGAACACCGTCGTCCTGCTGTGGTGGGGGGAAATGGATCAAGATGGAAGATTCGAAGCTTCAACCTCAGTCGTCATCGCATCTTTCAAAATTTCTGCTTGTGATTCCTGCAGCTCAACAAGCCGACGACGTTCACTTCCGCAACCTTTGGTTTGTCGATTTCGTTCATTTGGAATTAGAACTACCGATTGCCTGCGATGACTGTTGACAGTTAACCAACTTCAACCACCCGCCGACACACCCATCGGGCGAGCGGCAGCGCCCACAGTCCCTAAACCGTTCTCGCAATGCGCGGCCCCGGCCTTCTAACGACATTGACCTCTCGAACGCCGTCGTGTCGCATTGCTCATACTAGTAAACATTGTTTTACGAACCTTTCGAACGGAAGCCAGAGGCCAATCACCAGAGCAGCGTTCGAAATAGCCCAAATCGACCGCAATGTGAAGCGTACGCCCTTTATCCGAGGCTATGGGTTACAAAGAACTCTCATTTCAGCCGCTTCGTTCGTCGTCGTACGGAATAAATTCGAGTCGCTCTCTCTTACCCAAAATGGCCTGAAGCAAATTTGTTGGTTTTCGGCTGCAAGAAGCGTGCGAAAACAAGAGCGTTCGCCAACACCGAAGGATTTTAATAACGGCAGGAATGAGTCGGAAAATACGGTTTCTAGTCTACAGGATGACTTGCATAAAGGATTTGAACGCTCGGAGAAAGCCTCGCAAGCTGCTCAAATTAACTTAAGTGCGCGGCTGGCGAAAGACGGTCTCGCTCACGGGAAGAAGGCAGGAGTTCGGGAAATATGGCGGTTGATCAAGATTGCCCGTCCAGAAGCGAAGATCCTATCTGTTGCATTCGTATTGCTTATTCTTTCGTCTTCGGTTAGCATGTCAATTCCTTTCTCCATCGGCAAAATCCTTGATATCGCCACGAACCCGGACTCGAATCAGCTCTTTGGCCTCAGTCTTCCTTGGTTTTATGGTGCTTTGGCAGGCGTCCTTACTCTTGGTGCTGCAGCTAGCTATGGGAGAATCATCATCTTACGAATTGTTGGAGAGCGGATTGTTGCTAGACTACGATCAAGGCTCTTCCGACAGACCTATGTCCAAGACGCTGAATTCTTCGATGCGAACCGAGTTGGAGACTTGATTTCGCGGCTAAGTTCAGATACTATCATTGTTGGAAAAAGTATCACTCAGAATCTCTCCGATGGACTTCGTGCAGCGGTGAGTGGCGCTGCCGGTTTTGGGATGATGGCATATGTCAGCCTTAAGTTGTCGGGTATTCTAGCATTGCTATTTCCACCAGTTGCTATCGCAGCCTTCTTCTACGGTAGGGCAATCAGAAACTTAAGCCGGAAGATACAAAAGAATTTGGGGACTCTCACCAAGATCGCCGAAGAGCGGTTAGGTAACGTGAGAACGAGTCAATCTTTCGCTGGGGAGCGATTGGAAGTCAGTCGATACAACCATCAAGTCAAGCGAATATTCGAATTAGGAAAGAGAGAATCGTTTATCAGCGCGACATTTTTCTCCGCTGTAAGTACCCTTGATCCCCGATCTTCATGTCTATCATACTAAACAACTTTTAGACTGGTTTCACAGGAAATATGACCATTCTTGCTCTACTATATGTAGGCGGCGGGATGGTTCAGTCCGGTGGAATCACTATCGGTGAACTCACATCATTTCTCATGTACACTGTATATGCAGGCTCGAGTATGTTCGGGTTATCGAGCTTTTACTCAGAACTAATGAAGGGCGTCGGCGCTGCCAGTCGCCTCTTTGAACTTCAGGACCGAAAGCCCACCATTTCACCTACTGTTGGATCAAAAGTTAAATCGGCGCAAGGGCCTATTAAATTTGAAAATGTTCGATTCAGTTATCCGACTCGACCTGCTGTAACGATTTTCAAAGATCTCGATTTTGAAGTCCCACAGGGAGCTAATGTTGCGATTGTTGGACCTTCAGGGGGCGGGAAATCCACCATTGCAGCTTTGTTGCTTCGCTTTTATAACCCGAACGAGGGGGAAAATCTACATTAACGGCACAGACGTCTCTACAATGAACGCGAAATCGCTTCGAAGAAGAATTGGCCTGGTTTCCCAAGAACCGGTGTTGTTTTCAGGTACCATTGCTGAGAACATATCTTATGGAAAGCCAGAGGGCAACCAGGGCTGAGATTATCGCTGCTGCGAGAAAGGCTAATTGTCAGTTTATCGGCGATTTCGTAAGTATTCACATCATTATTTGATTTTCTATTCAATTCAAGTTGCTGACTTCCAACTTAGCCCGATGGTCTTGATACGCATGTGGGTGCACGAGGAACCCAACTCTCTGGAGGCCAGAAGCAGCGGATTGCAATCGCCCGAGCTCTTATCAAAGACCCTGATATCTTAATTCTTGACGAAGCGACATCGGCTCTTGATGCAGAATCTGAGACTCTCGTTAACAGCGCTCTGGCAGCCTTGTTCCGCGGAAGCAATACCACTATCAGTATTGCCCATAGGCTGTCAACCATAAAACGTTCTGATACAATCATTGTTCTGGACTCAGAAGGCCGGGTTGCCGAACAGGGTTCCTACAAAGATCTCAGTTCAAGGCCAGATGGTGCATTCATGAAACTCATGGAATGGCAAATCAGCGGAGGGGAATCTGGAATGACTCCCGTGGCCCATTACGAAGGATCCACAGTCCGTGGGCCACCTTCAGAAGCAGAAGAATTGCAACAAATGCTCCAAGATGGTGAAGACGAGGAGTATGACGAAAGCGGAGACGTCGAAGAGGAAGACATTCAGGCCAAGAAGCTAGGGCCTGCAGAGAGCGATGAGGAGGTTGGCGAAAGGGCTAGCGATACCGTCAAACGCTAGATTTGGCCCAAGGAAATATACTCCGCAGATCTTCCCAGTCCTCGTCGACAATATGATGCCTCGAGGTCTAATTATGCCTCGACAATGTTCCTTACTAGCGCAGGAAACGCGCTGGCAGGTGTGTTATTGAGCTGCATGGATCTAAGTTGCAATCCAAGAGTGCTCACACATCTATATTCTCTTTATCTTTGTATTAATTCTCATGATATCCAGCGGGAAAATGGGGCATATAGACCTTGTTTCGACTCACATGTCATATTATATTGGGGCTTTGCTTTTGTGGCTTTGCCAGACTACCTATGTGGATTATAGTTACTGTCACAGGCGGTTATTTCGGTGACTATTGTTCTATTTATTTTTTGCCTTTGTTTTGTTCAACTATTCACAATTTGTTCTCCCCTCTCTCAATACAAACACATGGCTTTTATTAGGCAGTTTGAATTACTGCTGTTTGAGTTGGGCACTTTTTTGCGCCCGTTACACCACTGGGGATTTAACATTCCAGTCTGTATAACTACCAGTCAGAGAACTGTGTACATGTACGTCTTCTCGCCTCCATGAATCCAATTGCAGATTTGTTGTCATCCCTTATTTCTGCAGTTTTAGGGAAATATGGGAATGAAAGTTGAGCTGAGCAATGCATCTAAGATGCTGAAAAACAACTCTTCGATAGTATATACTGCATATTATATACACACAGTTGCATGTCATCTAACATAAACCTTTTATGTTCTCTAGGCTTTCCATGTCATATATATACAAGGAAGAGCTAAGCAAAAAGAGGGGAGCTGTTAATGACAGCTGCAGAAAGCTTCATAGCTTTGCAACAAGAAAACTTAATAAGCTCCCTGCTGTCAGTCCAGCAACTAGCATCATGCTCATAAATGCACCAGTAGCCTCTCTTTCTTCTTCACTGACCCACCTCACTGCACCAACCATGCACAAAGCCCCCAGGGCTCCATTTGTTACCCCAAAGAGGAATTGTACAACAAATAAATAGAAAAAGTCACTCTGGATCTTTGCGCCTTCTCCCCGGATGTTACACATCAGGTATAATGGAACAAACAAAACACGCGCTAGGGAGAACATGAAAAGCAGAAATGGTCGACGAATCAGCCTCGCGAGGAGGGGCATACCAGCTGACATTCTGCCTAGGAGATCCCCTATGTTCCAGCAGAGAAAACCCAAGGGGACGAATGCAGCAGGTTGAAGGATTCGAGGTGGGGGGTCATCAGATTTCCATACGCTGTGTATCTTAGCGGTGAAAACTGGGAAAACCATAGTGACGGTGAAGCACATGAATAGTGCATAAGCGGTAAAGCGGACCTTGCGGAATAGAGTACGCAGGGGGATAGATTGCTTAACTGGCACGTCTGCGTCTGATTCTTCGAGAGCGATGGTTTTCCGAGACCCATCAAGGTAAAAGAAAGCGAGGAGAGCTAGCGCGGAGACACCTGTCGCTGTTGCGAAATATACGAAAGCGGATTTCGCCGATTGATACTGGACAGTTTCCTGATCAACAGCGTCGCTAGTATCCGGGATAACAAGGACGGTTATCATTTGAACAATGCAGGGCAGCACACCGGCAACCCCATGTCCAACCATAATGGCTTGGGTATATTCACTTCGCCCAAAACTGGACACATAAGCAAACACTCCGTTCTGGTTCGTGCCAGTGGCCAAGGAGCCTGCAAAGACCATAACCAAAGTGAACACAAAATACATCCAAACGGCCACATTGCGGAATAGCACGGTGGATAGAGCAAGGAAGCTAAAGACAACGATATTTAGGAGAATTGAGGCTCTTATTCTCCAAGGGTAGGAGGCGTTCTTCTGTAATTTCGCCAGAGCGAGGACCGTTGAGAGGTTGGTTATGCAGGAGACGGAGAGAATAGAAGATTGAAAGTTCGTCTCGATCCAACTATTGGACTCAAATCGACGTTGAAAGTACGGTGCCGCGGCGAGGAACATGTTCCTATAAATTCGCAATTGCGGTTAGCTGGATATGGCTCGCGGAGTGTAGTATCCTGGAACTTGAACGTACCATGCCCAGAGCATGGATACACCCATCCATAAGAATATTCCGTATTCGAGCCATGAAAATGGGCTTGAGGCGGGTTCTTCGCGTACGGCATTGCCCTCTATCTCATCCTGCTCGCTGTCTTCTCCGCCCAGCTGTTCATACGAGCGGCGGGGTTCGAAGAACCGCTCGAGACGACTTCTCAGCATATTGGAGCTGAGGTCTGGAAGAACTTATGCCATAAGAGGTCCGAATAGGCAAGTCATCGGCGATTACCTTGACGGTTGTTGCTTTGGAGAGCGGGATGCCTGCTGATATCTATGAAGTTAGAGGTGAGCATGGTCGGCGTGACGGCGTCATGTGATCTCTTCCCTGGCAAAATCGCATCAAATGACTGACTAGAATTACACCCGTTGGAGGTCTATCAAACAGCCTGTTGCATTAACCCTTTCCGTTATCAACGCTTTACTTGCTGCATGTGAGTTCAGCAGTGAAATCGGCTTCTCCGGGATGGTTCCATCTAGCAGCTTGACCGAGTTGCGGAATTTTCGCGGTAACCATGTAGTCTTGATGTCATACATCCGCGAAATCAGCGCCTATAAATAACTATTACTGAATGTCTCGCTTGGAAAACTGATGCTCTCGGCAGCTGTTCTCCCTGATAGTATCCAGTCTGCTTCTATAATAACCAAACAGTACCTCTCCTATACAAGATTATCTCTTTAGTTCAATGCTGATCAATCAATATAGCCATGGGTCGCAATCTATTCCGCACAGCCATCCAGCTTATCAGAAGCAATGATTCTCTTGAAAACCGCCGTGGCCATTCTGTTGAAGCCACAGCCTATAACACAAGCCACAGCTGCCTCTACAGACTCGCCCCAGAGCTTCTGGCCACCGTTAATGATTACCTGCCCCTGGCATCAGGACTCGCACTCAGACTTACCTGCTCCAAATTCTATTGGTGCAGTGTCTTCGATCACACTCAACGATGCGCAGACCGAACGGACCGCTTTGAGGCTCTATGCCACCTTGAATGTGATGGAGCCGTCAAGGGGTATTGTTGTCAAGGATGCCTAAAAAGGCATCGATATACGGAATTTTCCAACGAAGAATTAGCAAAGAAAGCCCACACACGCTACTGTTTAAAAACCGTGAAATGTTTCCGAATCGGTGTTTTTCGAGAGCTAAGCTTTGCGGATGTTAAGACGGCATATCGTAAGCAGGTAAAATGGGGGCCGAAGTACGATTACTTTCGTGACTGCAATGATCAGGGTAACTTGGTTTCTGGGGTGGGACGCATATATTTTTTCGGTACTGACCGGCGTATTTTTATTGCATTGGACATCTGCAGGACTTCCCAGCTATCTTCGAGCCGCGATTTTGCCAATATATGCAAGAGTCTGAATATCCCGTTGTGCCCACATATGACCACGGGGGATGAAGCGGTTACACAGCTCTTTTTCAAAGGCAACTACGATCGGCACAAATGCAAGAGATGCAAAACAAAGGTGAATTTCAATCGCGGGGGCCTGGTAGCTTTTCTCTTTGTGAGCCGGAACTTTGGAATGCTGTTCTCCCCAAAAGGTCCAACGTGGCTGGCACATACATATGCCTCGAAAGACCCGCTCTTAGAAGCTCACTGCGAAGCTGTTCACGATTGGCACAACAAAAACCCAATCAACTCCCGGTCTCTGCGCGATCTCCAGCTCCTGCAACACGAAAACTTGCGGACGCCAGACTTCAGTAACCTGTTTACAGCCGTTACTCTTCCGCGGAGCCGCCGGGGCAATGGCTTTATAAAGGGCGGCGGGTTCAGCACGCGTGCACCTGCGATTCGAAATGGTTAAGGAATTTAATGAGGAATAGTATTATTCCTCTAGGCGGGTTTACATACATAGTGTCGGGGAAATGGCCGCCACCACAAAGTATTAAGGAGTACGGAGTACATCCTAGCATATAGTAATAACTCCTGCTCAAAAACACACCACCAATCTTGCCAGTTATCTTAAATTCAACTATTAAAATACATTGCTTTTGGGTTCATCTTGGCTTCTCCAATCCGTCATAAGCCGGAAATGGATACTGGTCACCAGCACTGCGTAGAAGTGTGAACCTCGCTGGTGTAAAAGATACAAGGATAAAAATATAAGAATAAAACATGCAATAATAAACGCGCGATCAGAAAACAAAACAAAAAACAAAAGAAACTCACCTCAACCTACCGTCTGTTGAGGGTCAGCCGCCGTCTGCTGCAGCTGGTCCTGCTGGTCCCTACGGGCCCAGCGATACAGCTGCACCTGCATCGGGCAGTAGACCGCCAACGCCACCACCACCACACCGGCGGCAACAACCCACGCCACCGCACGCATCGCCCCCCAGTTCACCATTGTCGAGATTTGTTGAGATTTGTCGGGATTTGTCGCTTTGGGAGGACTTGGGGAGAGAAGAGAAGAGAAAAGAGTCAGGATCAGGGTGAGGATCACGGCGAATATATAGCCAACGAAAACAGTGGCCATGAGAGGGAAGATGGAAAGCACTCTCTTCCGCAACTAGCAGCTGTGATGGGGAAGACGGAAAGTGCCATCTTATATAAGTGCAGGAGCCTCTCTCTCAAGGGAAAGCGTCAGGAGCAGAGCCGGCCTCGTGCCTTTCGAACAGGCGTTCGCAGGCTTGAGTTTAGGGGTGATCTTGTGGGGGCAAGGGGGGTTGGTCTCTGCAGCCCTACAAGTTAGGGACCACTAAGCAGCGCCGAAGGCTTGGGAGAGGCCCCTATACTGAAGGACCAGTATGGCGGCGACCTCTGTACACAGCTCTTAACCATATAGAGTCGGGAAGCCCTATCTCCTGCCCGAAGTGGAAGAAGAAAAACAGCCAGGATTGGAGCATTGTGCTGTATCACATCTCTCTACTCTGATAGGACTCATGGGTCGCTGGTCGCTAATGGGCCGCATTGTATGATAAGGATGGTAATGAGATCCTAGCTGAAAATCTTCGCAAGGGATTTGAAAGTGCTTAATAGGGATGAAGATGGAATAGTTGAAGGTTTGAAAGGAGGATTTTATTGTCTTTTTTCAGCACTGCAAATGAGCTGCAATTCTGAAATATCTGATGATGAATGACAACCACACAGAATGAGTGGCCTTCAAACCGAGCAAAAGGGGAAGAGAAGACAAGACCAATAGCCAGACGGCTGGACAGTGCTTAATGAAGATCTGTCTGCAGTTTCTGTAAAGCACTAGTTATGTTCGCATGAATGCTCAGGTCATTGTCAGTATGTGTAGTTCAGATGAGCAGTTTCAACAACCTTTGAGCTAACTTTTCAAGCAGCTCCTGCAGCACCGGCACTCCCCAGCTTCTGAAAGCCTTCTCCCGCTTTCTTTCACCAATTCCTCCATCCCACAATTCTTTTTAGCTTCCGCACGGCGATTGTCCTTCCGAGCCTTCCGGCTTTTGGCTAATGAAGGGCGAAATCGATCTTTATTAGGGGACAGCTGAAGGCACCAAGGGGATTTGTAGTAGTGTAACCCCCCAACACTTTGCCGATGTAAGATATCCCGCTGCGAGCTGAGTAAATAAGTACATCGAGATGTACGGAGTACTCCGTAGTTAATAACAGTTGGGGAGGCTTGGGGATTCTGCCGACATCCCCACAGTCTTGGCACCCGTGCCCCAATTCCCCACAAGTTGGGTTCTCAAGCAATAACTAATAACTAGTTACCAAAGCGCTCTTTGATCAATAAATAACTAACAGAGTGATTATAGGGCCAAAACTTCAATCTTTACTTGAAGCGGTCATTTTCACCCCTGTTGCGCTAAATCAGCGCAAATATTTAGAGCATTACCGATTACCCCGACGATGGCCCACGTTTGAGACCCCTTGAAAATTTGCGCCCAGACTCGCAATATTCCAGCATTGAGATGCTGGTTCAGCTCCTGTGTGCCCATCGCTAAGTCGGCGGGAACAGGGAATTCCGTTTCGTCGAGCATCATCTTCACTAGCGCGGCTATGCGACGTTCGTCATCACTAATCGGAGGATTAGGATTCGGCATTGATAGCGCCTCAAGCCATTTGCTCAATAGGAAAGCACATTCCAGAGAACAGATCGAATGCTGAATCGACCATATAAAGGTCTGTGTTTGCGCAACGAGCCTGATGCCGATCTTCACTGGAATACTGAGGGCATGGGCGGAATGGAGCACGGCACGGACCAGTTTGGGAGTGCGCTGTATCGGCGGACTAGCACGGAATGCTTTTGCGATCTGCATCGGATCTCGAGTATCAAGCGCCCTGCCAGGCCCGATATCGATATTAAGCCGGATATAGGCTAGGCGAAGGAGGGCTGTGGAATTGAAGGCTACCGGCCCATTCGGGTCTTGCGGATCAAGCGAAGATTCGGGGTGGCGCTTCCACCCTATCTGCCAGTTGCGCAATGCTCGTTCCAAAGCGCAAACGTCTTCATAGGCCATATCTCTTTTGCCATCAAAACGCCCTCGAGCGACTTGACGAAGGAAGAATATGTGTTGGATAATCGCGTGTATCAGAATGTAATTGCCTAGTGACGAGTTAGGTTCGGAAACGTCGTTAGCACCACGGGAAAATAAGCGGTTCAGCGCATCCTGAAAGTTCACTTCCGGCGAAGCTTTCTGCTTGGCTTCTAGCCATAGAGAACCGGTCGGAGCTTTGAACTCGGCTGACCCAGAGGGTAGCAAGAGGTGAACTTCAGAATTCAGAATCAAAGACGGAATGTTGTAAACGATGCAATGTAAGTTGAAAAAGCAGTAGACAATGAATTTTGTTCTTTTAGCCGTCTCCACCCGGACCCATTCTTCCCATGAGACATTGTCCGGCATAGCTTCGCCTTGAAGACCATGGTCACGGACAAGCGTGGCCAAGATGCTTTGTAAACCCAAGGCCTCTCGCAGAATTTCCTTTTGTTTTGCCCATGTGGCCATGGCCATTAATATTAGCAATGCTTGGATTGTCTGAATAAGGTCTTCTTCTTCGGCAACCGTGTCGGATAACGCTTCCTTGATCGAACCCGAGCCGGGCTGCGCAGACAAAGGCTGGGAATGACAAGAATTGAGGTTCTGTCCTAAACCGTCCACCGGAGGAGTTGGTCCTGGCAACTCTGGATGATGCACTGCATTCCGCCTCGCATCCCGGCGTCGTATTCTTTCCATAGCTATCGCGTGGCTTGCGTAGAAAAGATCAATGCCTTTTTCTCCTTCAAGGCAATATTGTGTCCCCACAGCTGCAATGGCAAGGATAAGCTCAACAGAGCAATGTGTTATGGACATAGTAGCTATATGGAGAAACGGGAGATGCTCGTGGAATCCGTTAATGTAGGCAGCAACATATCTTGCGAGGGCCAAGCATGACGGAAGTTGAAAGGACGGTTGGATAACTGAAGAGAACTCGTTCAGTTTCGACAGGATATGCTTTCTGTCGTTGAGAGAGATTTCACTCAGTGGGCGATGAGGGATATGCATCCGTCCAATCTGAGGTGGTTGCTCCTCTGGCTGGAGCGATGGAAGCCGGGACCCAAAGTGAGCGAATGACCCAGGGTCATCAGTATGGTGATGACTATGATCATAATGGAAGATTGAATGCTCGACGTGGCCGATCTCAGGGAGGTGAGTTACGGATTCAGGGGAGAATAATGGCAGGGGCTGCTCGGCGGAAACAAGGGACGAGAAATGGTAAGACGATAACGATCCATTGTCCAGAAAGGCTGAGAGCTCATCCAGCGAGTTCTCTAGCTCAAGGGTATGGATGTTCGCATCCAGTTGAGTGGGCGGCTCTGACGTTGTCATGGTACCACCCTGTGCAAAGGCAACATGGGGCGAATTGGGCGCGGGATGACTGGAAGGAGTGCCATATGGTAGCTGAAGCGACACATGTTCTGCGGCCATTGATAACGTCGCCAGAGGGAAGTCATCTTGGCATTCAATGTTTGGCCGAGGAGCAGCGGGAGAAGCTCGATGATGGTTATCAAAAGCTGTGACGGATGTCTGTGGAGTCTCGGGAAAAGTTGAAGCAGGAGTATCAACCTTTGCAGCATGAGACCGAGAGCCTCTGCCACGTTTCTGCGGCCCGAATTTGTTGTGTGACAACCGCTCGTGGCGTATTAACAAATCACTGCAGCTGATCAGTAACCAAGTCTGTCGATTGAAATCAAAAGATTGGTAACACATACCTTCTGGTAAACCGATGTTCGCATAACTGACATGCAAAAGGCTTCTCTTGGGTGTCTACAAGGGGACAAATAATGAGAGCTAGTCTTTACAACCGACGAACCCAAAATTCTTAGGAATACGTACGAATTCTCTCATGTCTTTGAAGATGCTCCAGTCGGGAAAACCTATTCTGACAGCGTTTACATTGAAATCGTCTCGGCTTTTTCTCCGGTGCTGGTACGCCGGCATCGGTGGCTGCAGTGCGACCGGAAGTCAGAGGAGAGCCAGCCTCCCCTGCCCGACCCTTCTCCAGCCCATTGGAGTCCGTGCCATCCACCATGAAGGAGCTTGCAATAATATGCGACGGAGTTGGGGAAAGATTGACGGAGACTAATATTCCTTGCGGTGGAGAAGAGCGGAAACAATGTGTCTGCGGTGCAATCCTGACGGGAGCGAACTAATAATAACTACGGAGTAGTTACTACTTTTGGAGGAAAAGGTGCGGAGAAAATCTTGCGCGGGGATGTGGGGAATCACGTGGGCGAAGCATTGCTGAGGTCTTGGCCATCTTATCAGATGCGATCTGGATATGTTCACAGCAGCCGATAGTTAAACACTCTAGATAGTTATATGCGTGGTTTAGTTACGCAGTCTACAAGTCATGCAACGCGCTTCCCTAGCTCCCGCTTATGCTCCCCCTTCTCTTCCATTTCGTTCAGCACCCTCTCAGCAGTCTTCATCGCATCCACGCCTGCCGGCACACCACAATACGTCGTAGCATGCAATATCGCCTCTCGAATTTCCACCTCCGTCAACCCATTATTGATCGCTCCTCGAATATGCACCGCCAGCTCCGGCGCCCTGTTGAGCGCCATGAGCATGCCGATGTTGAGTAAACTGCGCTGTTTGCGGTCGAGTCCCCGGTCGTGTCCAAGCATACCCCCAGCAAAATTCTGTGACGAGCTCTTGACCGGCGCGAGAGAATTCCGTAGAGCCGCCGGCGAGGGCGCGGTCGACGTACTCGTTGCCGACAACTTCGCGGCGGACTTTCAGGCCTTCTTCGAAGAGCTTTTGGTGTAGAGGGGTGAGGGCTGGGTCGGTAGACATTTTTGTCTGTGTTGCAATTCGAGTAACTAGTTATGTCTTTTGTAGGTTTCGTAAGCTATAAAGTGTGAGTAACTACTGCGATACAAGTCAAGCTTGCAAGTACTTACCTGGTTGGGATGCCTACGTTGCGCGCTGTAGAGGTCAACTTGGATGCCTTTCCAGTATGAATCTACGAATCGGCGCGCCATCCAAAAACGGACCAATTCCCTCCGTATGTAATAGAGGGAGCCATACTTTACCCCAACCACATTTCTGCATCATCGAGCCTCAAAGCCGTTGCCGCCAAACACCTTGATACCCGACCGGGCCTTGCGGGATTCGGCATTCCGGGCAACATCCGCCCCAAACATCAGTTTACCCCGCGCTTTCCCCAAGGCCGAACAACAACTGTCAATTGAAATTATATCGGTAATTAAATCAAGAACAAATCCTCGGCTCTTGCGTCTTTATGGTATTATTGATGTGTGTGCGTCCTCCAACGGCTGAACGATTATTTTAATTACGGCGTTCCTGGAGTAAAAATGAGGGTTTCTTTGTGGCAGGAATCCAGCCCATGTTCCTCCATTATTCGCAAAATCTCGGACCCGGTTTCCGCCATGGCGTAGCCATATTCTGATATTATTGAGTACCCTGCAATTATTGAAAATGTTGAAAAGGCGCGCTCCGAGATTGAAATGCCAAGTCTTCTGATTTGCTTGTTTAAGTCCCCCGGTCCTGGTTCTTGACCCAGGACTATAACAGAGGATGTAACTTATATGTCCATACATTCACACCAGAATATGTCTGGCTTCCCCGGGCCCAGCCCATTGCGACCTTCGTTATCCATGCATCATTTCGGCCCAAATTCAACGCCGCTCCTGGATACCGTTGTATGCGAGTCTGTTGGGGCTGCCAGTACCAGGGTTCTTGACCAAATTAGGGATTGCAAGCTGAATTACCCTTCTCGCAACTGCCGCCGGACTCGTGAAGGTCTCAAGACTCATCAGATAAGCGACAAGGCCGACAACATGGGGAGCTGCTGCCGAAGTTCCACTTGCAATGTTGGTGAGGTTGTTGGTAGGGCTAGGCCAAGAAGATTTGATCAACTCTCCAGGGGCAAAGATGTCAACAACCCTGCCATAGTTGGAGAACGTGGAGCGAGTGTTGTCAGCGCGGAAAGCTCCCACGGTAATCGCATTGCGTGCAGAGGCTGGGGTGTTGCGTGAAGCATCTCTCTATAGATGAATCAGCATAAAATCCGTCATTGACTACTTAGGCGGTTAGATTGCGAGAGATCTCACCCCATCATTACCAGCAGCGGCAACAGTGACAACACCGGCTCTGTAAGCACGCTCAACAGCATCGTCGAATGGCTGATATTTGGCACTCGCTAAGATAATGTTTAGAAATAATTCCCTTAATGTAGCCTTCATGCAGGGCAAGATTGCAAGCTTACAAATACTCATGTTCACAACTGATTTGGTTTGTCTCCGGCTTTCAGTAATATTCTTGACGATCCAGTTATACGCATCGAAAATATATGTGTAAGAGCTCTATCAAAAAAAAAAGTTAGCAATTAAAAATTTAGAAGTATAGGAACTACTCACGCTGCCAGTATCGAATGCCTTTGCAGACACAACAGTAGCCTTTTTTGCAACTCCGTAGGTTTTTCCAGCAATAATCCCCGATACATACGTACCATGCCCGTTCCTATCCTCATGAGGTGTGTTTTTCACAGCATTGTACCCAAGAATCGCACGCCCTTCAAATTCTTCGTGGGAGATATGGATCCCGGTATCCAAAACATAGGCCCATACGCCTTCACCAGCAGCGCTGTCATATTTGTAGGTGGTGGACGGTTGACCTTTGCTGGACATGTGGCCTAGGTTCCATATCGCATCCTCCTGCGTGACGGTCTCCGCGAGATACACCTTTCGATCAGGAGTAACGGATTTCACCTAGATGGTGTATGTGTTTAATGAATGATAACATGGTGTTACTGGGGCTAGGCTGAGCTTACATATGGACTACGTCTAATATCTTCCGCCGTTTGCTCATCAAAGTTGCCCGAGTAGACGTTCAAATCATGGATTTGAAAGGCCTTGGCGATGCCCCCGGATTGTATTCCTTGCCGACCTGTAGCAGCAAGATTGGATCGATGAACGGAGGAAACCCAGGTTTTGTGGGATTCAACATCTGCCTGTGAGAGGCCATCCTTCAGAGTGATGATATACTGTCCAGGGATAATGTCACTGTCTTCCTGTGGGATTGGATTTGCTACCACAAAAGGCAGCAAAAGTAAAAGGCTGGATCTTAGCAGCTGCATGATAGGCGCCGGATGACACTGATAAGAGCCGGAGAAAGAGATAGCGAAAAGGGGAAATGGCAAGAACTTGGGACGATGAAGATTGGACTTGATGTAACTTATATAGACGTTAGTCTAGCTTTGGGGAGGCATATCAACTAGAAATCATTTGCTAGGGTTCCTCCTTGAGAGTACCATCCAAGCCCGGATAGAGCGTCGCATTTCTGAAGATCGAGGATACACGTGATGTCATATCAGCCATTATCAGGTTGCCATACGCAGAATCTGCAACGTCTCACGCCGCAACTAATATTTAACCTTGAGCAGGGAGTCTCTCGTAGAGTTTGGGTATCGTTCTTATGCCAGGTCCTTCCCGAATGGAAATATGGGTAAGGAGCCATATATGGTTTGTTGAGCTAACCGAAGAAAACCGCAGCCGGAGCGGTGGATTGCTCACGCTGCCTTCCCAAAGTCGTGGAAAATCTTCTGTCGCAATCGTAAAGCCTGAATTAACTCGATTGACAAACCACTCCATCCAAATACAATTCCATGGTGAGATTCGCCACGTTATAATGTAAACTGAACGTGGGCTTGGGATGGCGGTAAGCTTTCCGGGGCGCAGAAGAGACAGGGGAGGTGCGCGGGGAAGTACGCGGGGAAGTTGTCCGGCTTGCATTATTTGAAAACCTTGGGAGCACCTGGAGGGAAAGTTGCTGTGCCTGGTCAGCTTGGAGCCGACAATAGCCTTAGACAGTTGTGCGACTGAGCAAAATAACACAATCAAACAGCTTGTTTGAGAGAGTAGACTTGCTGGAATAAGCGCAAGCCAGAGGAGGAAGCACTGAAAGAGCAATAACAAACAGAGAGACACAGAATCTGGACTGAGAGACGGTCTCTGGGGGACGAATTTGCATCTAATATTTCGAGTATAATTTTGACTGGAGGTGCAAGTTCTGTCATGAAGTAGGTATCCTTGACTTAGCGGGGTTAATATAGGGATCTTCCCACCGGACAAAAGGCCCTCTCGCGACCTCGTTAGGGCCTCTCTGAAGGCAAACCAGGGTCACATCTGTGCGAATCTAATCATACTTGGGCATGGATCAGCATCTTGAGCGTCCGGGAAACTGAATTTTCGGGAACCGGAAGAGCTGCCACGGCCAGCATCCATCCATAATCAATCGGGCCGATATTGATGGCGCAGGCCAGCTGTTTCCCGTGGACGGCATCTTTTCACTCTCCCACCCCTCCGTCGTGGGGGATTTTCGGGTTCCTGTCTTGGGATTGATGCCACTCGACCGAGATATAGTCATTGTGTTAGCCCTCACATTACTGATTCTGTGTCTGGAAAAATGGGAGATTGAATTCTGCAGGCGATTGAGCCCAGGATGGGAGCGGAGTGTTTTCGTTAACGAGATGAACAACTGGGGCTGCTTGGGGCTCACGGTCCAACAATGATCCATGCCGAGTCCACCTGATCTCCAGGGATGCTTCATCAACCCTCTTGGTTGACAACAACAACAACAGTTCACAAGAGGATGTGAGAACCACACCGCATCCCCGTCTGCCTGAGATCAAGTTACATGACCTTGGCGGCATTGCCAATTGCTGTTTAAATGAATGCACCATCTCCAATCATCAGTAGAACCACCACAGCCCCCATTTATTCGGCTGCAACGCTGTGGGCGCGAACCCAGAGCTTTTCTGGACAATGTCTCCGTTAGGCGAGCTGGGCGCTTCTGAGCCCATGTCAGTCCTTGTTGTTCTGCCCTGGTCCGTGTGCCTTTTTTCTTTTGTGCTAAGTTGCGTTGCAGCGGCAATCCGAGGAATATGAGATGCTTCGTTCTGTTTAAACCAATATGTCAATGCTCCACTTGACATAGTTACAATTATGCTGTTGCATTTGATTGAACGAGCGTACAGTGGTTGCGATAATGTCTACATGACGTTTGAAGAAGTGGAAGAGTCGATGGAAGCCCTTAAAAGGCCCGCATCCCCTCACTTTGCCAACTTCACCCACCAACGCCTTTCATACCGCATCCTCTCTGCAGTCTGAAACTCGTTGTATCCTTTCATCATGGGCTTTATTAAGTCTGTTGCTGCAGCCTTTGCTGCTTTGTCGGTTGTTGATGCCGCACAATTGCTAGGTGCATCTAGCAAGGACATTATTCCCAACTCTTATATTGTTGTTATGAAAGACTCCGTCTCTTCCACTGAGTTTGACTCTCATGTCAGTGGTGTCACGAACCTCCATCATGAGCACCTTAGCAAAAGAGGATCTACGAACTTTGGCGGTTTGAAGCATATGTACTCAATCAACGGATGGCAAGGCTACAGCGGATCGTTCAGCCGTGATACCATCAATGAAATCCTCAAGGATGACAACGTTAGTGGTCCTGTGTACCTTGCTTGTGAGTTTCAAGTCTGATTCGAAGCATAGGTTGATTACGTCGAGCATGACCGCCGTGCGAAGATACTGGGGTGGGCGTCTCAGCCAAATGCTCCATCTTGGGGGCTTGGGAGAGTTTCTCACCGCGAGAGAGGCAACTCAACCCTTGTTTATGATGAGATGGCTGGTGAAGGCATCACATTTTATGGCGTTGATACCGGAATTGATATCACACATCCTGACTTTGGTGGCCGAGGTGTCTTGGGCACAAATGTTGTAGGTGGCGCACACCTCGATGGTCATGGTCATGGTACCCACACTGCGGGAACTGTTGCTGGAAACGCTTACGGGATCGCCAAAAAAGCCAGTATTGTCTCGGTCAAGGTTCTCAACAACCGAGGTTCTGGATCCTGGAGTGGCATTATCGCAGGTTTGAACTGGTGTGTCACTCATGCACGCGAAAACAACGTCCTTGGCAAAGCTGTGATGAACTTGTCCATCGGCGGTGGACGAATGACCTCTGTCAACCAAGCTGCTACCAATGCAGCAAATGCCGGCATCTTCCTTGCTGTAGCAGCTGGAAATTGCAATGTAAGCATCGCGATTTACTTCCCCAAAGTGGAGGATCATTTGATTGCTAAAGGCTCCAATAGACTGATGCTAGAAACATCTCTCCTGCCTCCGCCGAAAATGTCTGCACTGTTGCTGCCTCCACTGAATTTGACCGCAAGGCATCCTTCTCCAACTACGGAGCTACCAGTAAGATCATGCTTCACTGTGTGTATGCACAATTACATGCTAACTAGATGAAATAGTTGAAATCTATGCTCCCGGAAACAATATTATCTCCACTGTCCCCGGTAACCGTTCCAGGGCCATGTCCGGTACCTCCATGGCGGCTCCACACGTTGCCGGCGTTGCTGCTGCAATCATGGCTTCCCAAAATATTGCCCCAAGTGAGGTTTGCGCTCATCTTGCTGGTATGGCTGAGGGTAAAATCACCAACCCTGGCCGCTCGACTACCAACAAACTTCTCTACAACGGCAGCGGCGAGTAAACGAGATCGCTGCGGCTGGTCGTTCAGAATTGCAATATAATATGGTTATCTGGATGGCTCTGACTTTTGTTTCACGGTTTCACTCGTTTCTCCAGTTCAGGGCATATCGGCTACATGTGCTACCTTAATTTGCGTTCATACATGTAAACATTAGGTAGTCTTTCTATTTGCAACCACAATTGATGAAATTGACATAAATGAATGTTTGGGTTTCAGCACTGTGTGTGCAATAAACGTTGAGAGTAAATGTTAACCGCATTCTGGTCCCGGCCAGCCATAAATCCAAAGGCGATAGATGTCGCGAAGATTATCCTCATAAGTACGTCCTGTACTTACTAAAAAAGCTCTATTATGCTCCATACAGAGTATCGTAGGGCTTTTGTTCAAAACTCTCCGTAGCTTAATTTATACATGTACGAATATCAAAGGATTCAAAATTCCCCTACCACCTTGAGCCCAAATTGGAGGATCCAATCCTTAGCTCAGTTATTCAGTAGTTGGGTTTCCAGTGAGTAGGTCTGATATAATACCAAATCTATCCACGCGTACTATTTACGGAAAAGAGATGATTTGCTATACTAGAAACTAGCATATTGTTCTCATTCACCTACTCTCTACCCTTCCAGTCCTCAACGCCTCCCAAGAAGCGATAAACAACCCTAGAATCCAAATCTTTACACCTGGGATCCTGGCTTGCATCAGTATACGTTTGCAAGCCCGCCGCACCCAAGGCCAGCTGTGCACCCACTCTCGTCGCCATGTCAACAGCCAGCCCAAAATCCTTCTTCATAAGCTGCACTTTGAACCCTTCCTTGTATCCATGGCTTGATGGGGAGTCAGGGTATACGCCCGGAACGGGATTGAACCGATCGCAAATCGTATTTTGCGCAGTTCCCGCGCTGTAGACGTTGGCCAGGACGCGTGGATCTAGGCCTGACCGCATGCCCATGTTCATTGCTTCCGAACACGCGATAGCAATCAAGCCTGAGAGATAGTTGTTGGAAAGCTTTGCTGCGAGGCCCAGGGACGGTCCGCCGCAGGGAATGATTTGTTTCCCCATCATGGAAGCCAGGTTTGCGAGTAGCGGCAGATTCGGGTCGCCTTCTGCGCAACCGAGGAAGAATGCGATTGTTCCCTTCTTCGCACCAATTACGCCACCGCTGACAGGTGCGTCGTAGAAAGATGCGCTGGGAAAATGGGTGAAAATGTGTTCTTTGACTGCGAGACTCGTCGCGGTATCAATTGTAGAACAGTCGATCAGGAGCTTGTTGGACACATCCGTTGCGCAAATCCCGATATTCCGGTCAAGATATACCTGCCTGACATGCAAGCCTTCAGGGACCATAGTAATAATAACGTCCTAGTTTTTCGTTTGTCGTTAGATAACAAGAACCTTACCTATTATCATGCAACGAAGGAATGCGGGTTTGTTTGAGGTCGGTTTGCGTACCGATCTCTCCGCAACGGCTCTTGCACTTAAACATTTTACTATTTTCCCACCATTTCCTGCTACCACGTCGTCCAATACCTGCTCAGACACATCATAAATGCTGATGATGCTGTTGGCCGGTAGTTTCTTTGCTAGATTTTCCACCATTGGCCGCCCCATGGCACCGATTCCTATGAAGCCTAGATTTTGATACTCCGCATCCGACATCTCGAATAAATTGGCCCTTCTTAATAAGAGTAATTAGAAAAACACTTGTATCGCCAAAGCACAAGCAATAACGGCGCTTAATCTGGTTCTGGAGGAAGATTAAACCTCAACAGGGGGCTTCTGCTTCCACCAAGTTGGGTCATTTCAAATTGCCCTAGAACCTGCTATTAAACATTAGCTGGTATGGCTCGATGAATGGCCCGAAGTTCGGATCCCGCCTAATTGAATAGTGCCGGTTGTTTAGCCGTAGAGCTAAGAGAAGATATTGCTTGTTTATGATCACCGAATGTTTGAGTTGGAGAATCCGGATACCCCAACAGCTGCAAGCTAGTTGCCCCGCGGGTTTAACTAGCGTGCGGGGTACATCATGTGATAAAATATATCTAGCTTAGTCATTAGTTACCAGGGCTACTTGCTCAACACTTGTGACTCCATACTTCTACTTCGCCCTATCCTGGCTTTGAGTGGGATGAATGTTTTAGTAATTTACATTTTTGTCTCATGCTTCATCCTGATTGAGATGTAGATGATATCTTCGCCAATCGCTTTATAGTCAATAATATAATGTGTCGCTCCATGTGTATGCCCCTGAAACCTAATCCTCCAACGCCAGGTTTGAACTCCTTAATAGTCGAAGGGAAAAAGAGACTGATGACTATCAAATGAGATATACTGGGGTGTAGTGTATTAGGCATTCGCCATCCTAACCCCCTAAATTCAGCACAAAAAGTCTGACTCAACCAACCATTGCGACCCGATACCAAATGCAACCAGGTCGCCTGCGCAGAGTAGTACATCCTCCTCCTCCTTCTCTGGATTCAAAACATCCAAAACGGTCTGTAGACGGTCAAGTAACTCAAGCTGGATGTCTAGGCTGTCTGTGTCATCGTCGTTTTCACCCTGCTTCTCGTTTCCAGTATTGGTACTTCTAGGAGAAACGGGTGTCAAATGGCTTTGCGGTACCGGCAGGATGCCATCAGTTTGACCTTTGCTAAGCAGCATGGTGAGGACGAATGAAAGCCATATCAAGTTAGTCCGCGGGTTAGACTCTTTCCAACGCCAGGGTTCGCTTCGAGAATGGCCGGGATCTTGATCTCGATAGACCTCTCTGCGCATCCTGGGGTGCCAGTTAGGACTTCTGAGCTTGATCTGACGTTAGAATTGCGAACTTACAGCCGATAAGTGTCTCGAAGAAGTTTCTCATCATCATCTTGCCCGATGGCATCAAACAACTTTTTCTTATCCAGGTCCGACCAAACAGTATCTTCATCCATGGATGTGTCGTGCATATTTATGCTGGCTCGGGAGAGTGAGTAATCAATAATGGTTGTCTCCATGCCACTTAATCCAAAACCGGGACCAACATTATCTGGTAGCTTGAAGGGCTCATCCGGAGATTCGTTGGGTCGGGTGGACTTAATACATATATTTCCCAAGTGAAGATCGCGATGCTACAAACAGAACTTAGCAGAAATCTCCGATTCTTCACGTTTGG